GAAAATACATAAACAGTAACATGCTCATCATCAATTAGTTTCCTTTCAAAAACATAACCTGATTAGTTAGTGTACTTCTGACACTTTCTTCATTGCACAGCAGATGAACTAAATACTTACATTACTGTAGAGATTTTATATTTAGTAGTACGTGGATAAAGTCTTATTCACTCACTCGTTGTTAGTTATTCCAGGTGACCGACCGACACACAGACAGATTTGAGTGAAGAGGATGCTGGTCATCTGATAAAATAACTCCTGTCAGATGTTTACATGAGTTAAGGTGTTTGTCGATGACTGTTTCAACTGTAAGGTTTAGAGGTACACTACTAGTTCTACTGAACATCTTCAAAGTTCTACGCAGCAACCGAGGAATGAATAAAGGGAAGCAATAGAGGAGAAGAGGTAAGATGCAGGAGTTTATAAAACGCAAGACGAAAGGCTGAGTAATACCAGATACTCTCAACTTCCAAATATAACAAGTTAGGATTAAAGTTTAGATACTTTTGGAAATTAGTAAGATATTGGAGGACCAGGAAAGGTTCGAAGAGAAACACACACCGAGATAAATCACACATAACATTCTCTAATACACAATCCTCAGTAGAAGAGGAATCATGAGACCTAAGCAGTTTACATAGGTTATGCTCACGTCTGAAACTGAAGTTTATAGTCTGATATTCTTCAGAACTAAGCAGAAGACCATTCTTCCGATTGTAGATAGGAAATGGTTGAGTTGGGAACAATTTATTGAAGGGGAGACGAGTATAGAAACTGTCAGGTCATCAGCATATTTGATAAAAACTTAGATGAAATACAAAGTTTAACCACGTGATCTTGGTCGATATCTTTCTATTATGTGAAAGAATTTAGACCGTTTCGTAATAATGAATCACCGCTGATGTTAGCATTACGTCTTTTGAACTCGATATCTGTTCTGTATCTGCACCTCACTTGTTTAGGGAGTTAACTTTCAAGCAGTGGATCACGGTTCAAGCACCGTTCCACCTACCGTGGTTTCGGCTGCAAGGTATTACTATCATCAATCCTTGTACAATAGATGTGGCTTATTGTCTACTACATGTAAAAGTATATAAGGTTGCTAAGGTTGTGGTCCTTTACGTAGTGTAACCGTCGAGATTCCATGAAGGAACGAGATGGTTCCAAAATTTATAGGGACCTTGTTACATGTAACTGAAATCTTGTTTCTACGGATGCCTTACTCTGTAATACCGCAACCTCTTTATAAACTTTTGATCTCTTTATTGGAAACCATATAATGTCATAACTTCTCACAGTAGAAATGTTGCTCATAGCCTAGTACACAAACTTTCACCTGGTTGACCATAAATTAATCAAATTTTTCACTGAATGATGGTCAGCTTTTCAGTATGCATAACTGCTTTTTCCAAAGTCTTATTAGAATCCTCACCTATTTGTAAATCTACTCTTATTTACTGATACCTCTTAGTAGACAGTTTGACAGCAGAAGGTGAAGTACGAAAATATCAAGTTAGACAAATTATATAGCGTAAAACTTAGCACAAAGGTGCATCATTTCAAGTTGCAACACTTTACATCAGCATGTGAAGTTGAATTATAACTACGATTTTGTGGTAGACAAAGTTGTACAAAAGGATCAAAGGATAAGTAGATAAAGGTTAGCAAGAAAATCAGAACTTATATAAACATGGTAGGGACTTGTTAGCTGTCGATTTCCGTCAAAATACCCTAGTTAGATATTATCCAAGATCATGATTTAGCTGAGATATGTTGATGACACATTCGTCATTTTAAAGTACGACATATATACCAGGCATTCTTAGATCAGTTTAGAGCAGCATCAAGTTCAGCTCAGAAGAAGAAACAGATAAGCGGGAACTTCCGTTCCTTCACTGTCTTTTTAAGTAGGAAGAAAATAAACACTTAGCTATAACCATTTTAAGGAGATCAACTCATTCAAACAGTTATTTTTTTAATTTCAACTTATCACATCCAGTCACCAGCACGAAAGTTTCGTTGCCTCCAGTCTCTTAAAGAGATTACACGTTCTATTAACGGATGGAAAAGGAGAGAGTTAAGGGATTAAACTATGTGAAGAGGATACCTAAAATGAATAATTATCGGGTAAAATTCATTTGGAAAACTACTCGTAAATCATGGCCTCAACAATATTTATCCCATACAGATCACATACACATGGGATGAAATTGGGAGAAAGCTCAACAACTACAATGTCATCAGAGTGTTGCACAGAACATTAAACACATTGAAGAGCACCTTAGTTCGACTCGACCTCCTAGAAATCCAATGGAACTGAGAAACCTTGAAAAGACATCAGCCATAGGGTGTTTGCAGGATTTTGATAATATTGAAATTATTGAGAAAGGCGGCTTTAGAAATTATGAAGAATGTCTGATAGTATAGTAGAATCTCTTTACATTAAGTGGAATCAAAATTGTGTAAATGGGAAGGGATGAGGGAGTGAAACGTGGTTCGATCTGGTCTCAATCCACCCCGACATATTGGCATAACCAACATACATACGATAAGAATTATCAACAACACATGTGTACATACAAATCTCAATCTTTAATTCATACACAACACACTGCATATGGATATCATCTTTGAAACAATTAGTCCGTTTAATAAATTTCGATAACGCTATTAGAAGACGAAGATTATCTGAACAAACTGTGTGATGTGTATTGGCGCAATACATTTCGAACAATCTGATCCCCCACACATTTACTTGTCAAGTCAATTTATATATGAAAATTAAAGGTCAAATATAGTGAGAATGAAGAGGTTGTGACACTAGTCTTGGTAATATAATCAGATTGCCAAGGATTACCAAGGTAAATTAAGTGAAACAACAAATTGTTTTTGTACACACAGCGGGGATTAAGTTTACGAATGGCTAACGCTTCGGCAAACGGAAAACGGTTATCCATTACAGTTTGTCAACCATTGTAAAAAACAGTTGACCCCAAAGCCTACAGTTTCCTCGGTTCCGAAGAAAAGCATATTTCTTAAAGTACCATACAGAGGGAATACAAGTTGTATGATATTGAAGCAGAGATGAAAATCTGTTATCAGTAAAACATACTATGCAGCTCAGCTTATCATTGTTGAGACGACAAAACACCTGCTTCACCACAAACCTCAACCTCGCACAAATGATTGCATCACATCTCACTGTGTTTACCAATTTACATGTATGTGTGGGCACACATACATAGAGAGGAGTAATCGTTCAATGCAGACTAGGGTGGGTGAACACATCCCCAAATGGCTAGAAAAACAGTTTAACACACAAACTTTGATGAGTGCAGGTGACAGACATCGTCATCTATAGCAAAACATCTTCATTGAAATGAATCACAGGGTTAATAAGAAAACAGCCTTCAAGATATTATACAGGAATAATCAGAGGCGCATACTGAAGTTTGCCGAAGCGTTGTTAGCCATTGGTAAACTTAATCTCCCGCTGTGTGTACAAAAACAATTTGTTGTTTCACTTAATTTACCTTGGTAATCCTTGGCAATCTGATTATATTACCAAGACTAGTGTCACAACCTCTTCATTCTCACTATATTTGACCTTTAATTTTCATATATAAATTGACTTGACAAGTAAATGTGTGGGGGATCAGATTGTTCGAAATGTATTGCGCCAATACACATCACACAGTTTGTTCAGATAATCTTCGTCTTCTAATAGGGATATCATCTTTATTCAGTAGTTCTGACAAGGCGGAATCATTGATGTCGAGCTTGAGGGATATTGCTAAATAACTTTGATAAAGCTATTAACAGCATTAAGTACAACGAAACGATATTTTTTCGTTGTTTCTATGTCCGTAAGAATTTCTCGATAAACTGTGGAGGATAATATTAACTATTAGCGCTTCTTTCATGTGTTTCAATTGCTTGTTTAGATTCTTGCTCTGACTAGTCAGTTTTCTAACTCTATCACTTAGACATTTGACTAAGCCTGCCTTAACTGACATTGGATGGGATGATTTGATGTCTAGATACCTGTTAGAATATGTTGATTTTCTGTAGACAGTAGTAGTATCCAAGCCACCGCCTGTTCTTCGTTTTATTCTACAATCCAACATCGGCAATTTTCAGTAGTAGACACAATTCAATTCACTTACGAGGTAGAAAATGAACAAAGAACATGAATTCTACTTCTAAATTAAAACAATCCCCATTCATCTCAAAAATACATTACTGTATAGTGCTCATTAGTGACCTGCTTCCAGATGGATATCACAAAGCTCTAATGAGAAGCCGTGACCTGTGGGGGGGGGGGGTCCACCAGTCGGAACTGAAGTGGATGCTAACTGAAAACCTTGGGTGGTAGTCACGCTATATCTTGAAATGACAGAAGTTGAAAATTGTGAACCACTGGAAATCGACCCAGTGACTGAGTGGTTAACGCTTTCGACGTGAAACCTGAAGGTTCTGAGTTCGATCCCTGACCGGGTCGTATACTGCTGAAGAGTCCCATGCTAGGACGAAACAGCTGCTGTCCAGTGCTCCCAGATTTTCAATGGTTCCTCAACCGATATCAGTCGATGATGAATACTACTTCTAAATTAAAAAATCCTCATTCATCTCAAAAAAAATTTATTGTGTTTTACATTCTATTTGGGGAATAGAAATACTGAAATAATTAAGATCAGGATTTTACTCTGTTAATGATAAATCGTGGCTAGCAGTCGAATCCAAGATGCACATTTCGTCCTATTTGAGACTCGTCAGTTGGACAACATCACTCACTGGGAAGCAGGTACATCCAGCTGACGAGTCCCAAATAGGACGAAATACGCATCTTGGATTCCACTGCTAGCCACTATCTATCATTAATATAATTAGAATACAGGATTTTATTCTGTTTGAATATATTGATCTTTTTTTTTATTGTCGGTGATAGTACATATGATACATATATATCTATTCATTCATTTTTCTGTTGCTATCATCAGTTTTGTCGTGATTATATTGCTAATAACATTCCAACTGTTGAATGTGCAATCTGTTTAAATAATTTTCATAATGAATCAAATGTCTACTGTACAACCAACTTTCATTATTTTCATACTTATTGTATTGGAGAATATATGAATCTAAAACAAACAGATTATGAAAAAGAACTTATGGAAATGAAAATAAAATGTCCATATCATGAATTTCCTCCACTTGAAGTATGTTTCATATATATATATATATATATATATTCACAAGTAATTGAGCATATTCTATTTAATCTTTTATTGATTTCTAATCCTATGTTTCGGACACAATTTATTGTCCATATTCATATCAGGTAAATAACTCCACAACTTCGAGACAGTCTTTATATAGTCCTAGTTTTCTCTCCTTCTCTATGATGACAAGGGTAGTAGAATCTTCCATATATCTGACAGGTGCAGCATCATTTCCATTGCATGTGTTTGGTGTTGATTCGATAAACAAAGATTCACTCGGTTATCAATCTCTCCCTCCCTCTACCCAACTAACTTAGTTTTCAACACTGTCACCCTATCCCACCCTACTGTGTCACTGATTGTGTGTCGTTGCATGCAGAGCTAAATAGCCGAGTTTTTCTCTAGATTTCTTATTGATCACCATCTACTAATCTTGATTTAGCTGTGTTATTCTAATCGACCCTGGATGGTCGACTACTTTCACCTATGTATTTCACCTCACAATCATTGCAAGGGATTGGTAAACTAGATTGGTTATTTTGCTAATTGCATCGATAGAATCTTTTACCCTACAAGGCTTGTTTCTAAGTGACTTTGTTGGTTTGAATGCCATTTCAATCCCAGCCACCTTATTGACAATTCTTCGTAATGCTTCTGAGGTGCCAACCTTGTATAGTAACCAGCAGAGGCTTTGAATTCTCTCTTAACCTTGTCACCATTATTACCATTAGTAGTGGGATTATTATTAATAACACCTGTATTACTATTACTACTACCATTGATAATATTTTTCTTTCGATTTCTTATGAATTTATTTATAAATTCAGGTGGGTAATTATTGAGACGTAGCGTATTCTTGATGTGTCTAATTTCTTGTCGCAGATTTTCCGATCTACCAGTAAGCTTCTTCGCTCTATCACTTAAGCATTTAACTAGGCCTGCTTTAACTGAACTAGGGTGGTGGGAGGATTCGAAGTCTGAGTAGCGATTCGAATGGGTAGGCTTCCTATAGATACTAGTCTCAAGGTTTCCTTCTTGTGTTCGTTCAATCTTCCAATCCAGCATTGCTAGCTCACCTTCTTCACATTCTAAGTCACAGGTGAATTGGGTTGCATTTACTACTGAATTTATATGTGCCAAAAACCTATTGATGTCTTCCCATTTCAGTACTGTAAACGCATCATCTGCATATCCTATCGACGCAATTCAACAAAATAATCTGGTCTACCAGATTCCTTGCAATGATTGTGAGGTGAAATACATAGGTGAAAGTAGTCGACCATCCAGGGTCGATTAGAATAACACAGCTAAATCAAGATTAGTAGATGGTGATCAGATAAGAAATCTAGAGAAAAACTCGGCTATTTAGCTCTGCATGCAACAACACACAATCAGTGACACAGTAGGGTGGGATAGGGTGACAGTGTTGAAAACTAAGTTAGTTGGGTAGAGGGAGGGAGAGATTGATAACCGAGTGAATCTTTGTTTATCGAATCAACACCAAACACATGCAATGGAAATGATGCTGCACCTGTCAGATATATGGAAGATTCTACTACCCTTATCATCACAGAGAAGGAGAGGAAATTAGGACTATATAAAGACTGTCTCGAAGTTGTGGAGTCACTTACCTGATATGAATATGAACAATAAATTCTGTCCGAAACGTGGTTATCCAGTAAATGTTACTGTTTCTTCACTATGTGTGATATTTCTAATAAACAGACTGAAATGGAGTGAATTTGTTAAGCATTTTTGTATGATTAATCTGTACACATCAAGCTTTACATGTTATATACTGTGAAATGCATCGTAGTTCACAGATTTCATCATATTCCCCAGTATGTATTATATTGTTAACATTAGATTTAATAGGGTTAAGTACTTTAATTTAATTATTATGACTTTATTCTAAAAGGTATTTCGGGAATATTCTGCAGAATTTTCAGCAGCATGTCATATACAGCATCAATTGGACGAAGATATAAATGAATTCAGTCAACTCAACTCTACCTCAACTTCATCCAGTTTGAGAAGGCTTTTGACAGCGTCGACCGAGAAGTAATTCAGCAACTGCTCTAACACTACGATTTTAGTACCGCGGACCTTTATCAACCTCATTCAACAACTATATGAAGACGCCACATGCCAAGTAATTCACAATGGTGATGCTTTTGAAGTGAATACAGGTGACAGGAGTGAACAAGGCTGTCTACTATCACCCATGATATTCCTCATTGTGATGGACTGGATCATGCAACAAACTGTGAGGAGCGAGAAGGGGAGATACGCTGGACCGGGGAGAAGATCCTATAAGATTTGGATTTCGCCGCCGATGACTTGTGCCTGATGTCACACAAACTTGAAGATCTACAGGCAAAATCCTACAAGTTGACAGAAGAGGTGAGGCAGCGAAGATGGGACTTCAAGTGAGTATAGAGAAGAGAGAGGTGATGATGATACCCAACTAACAACAGCAACAACAAGCTGCAATCACTATGAACGGAGAAACCTAAAGGAAGTAGCCTCCTTCACCCACCCTCCTAGGAAGCACTATTTCAACTACAGGGGCATAGACGAGGACGTCAAAGCCAGCCAGGATCGGAAAGGCTGCAAGGCAGGCGTTGATTAACCTGAAACCAGTGTGGAGATCTTCTGCACTCAGCATGTGGAACAATATCCGGATTTTCAACACCAATTCAGTCAAGTCACTGTTTCTATATGCTTCAGAGACTTGTCGGGTTACGAAAGGGATTTCCAACATACTACAGACATTCATCAACAGCTGACTACGCCGGCTCGTCACTGAAGATCAGATGGCCAGAATAGTGAGAATTAGCAACAAGGAATTCTGGCTTAACTGGCAACGAACCAACGAAGAACCTGTTGCTGAACAAATATGCACTGGAAGGAAGTGGAGATGGATTGTACCCGGCATACACTGAGAAAGCCGACTAGGGACAACATGTGCCAGGCCCTCGAGTGAAACCAAGATGGGAAACGGCGAGTTGGATGTCTGAGCCGAGGGTGACATGAAGGAGATCATGTGAGGAAGAAATGAAAGCTTGTAGGCAGTCGTGGCGCAGAAAAATAGTCATAATAATAATAGTAATAGTAATTCTGAAGGGTATTTTGAGATAATTCTATAGAATTTTCAACATGTCATACGTAGCATCAATTGGACAAAGACCAGTGTACATGTATATAATATAGCAAAATGAATTGAGTATAAATTACATATGAAAAAGATAAGAATATTCACTCCATCTTCAACTTTCTTCAAAATATGCAGTTAATTTTTATGGTAGACAATCACATTAGTGATTAGCTTCATAATACATAAACAGTAACATACTGTGTACTCATCAATTAGTTTGCTTTCACTACCAGAAGTTGATTAGTGTAACTTCATTTCGAATACTTTCTTCATCATGTAGCAGACGAGCTAAATACACACGGTATTGTAGAGTTTTTATATTTTGTAGTGCGTGCATAGAATCTTATGTACACTTGCTCCTTGTCTTTTCAGATGGACCAACAAGCAGACAGCTTTAAGTGAAGAGGATACTGGTCATCTGATAAAATAACTCCTGACAGATGGCCTCATGAGTTAACATGTTTGTCCACAACTGTTTCAACTAGAAGGTTTAGGAGATAAACCACTAGTTCTACACAATATAGCATAGTCTTTTTTCAGGAACCCCACAAAAGAATAAAGGAGAACAATAGAGGAGAATAGGTAAGATGCAGGAGTTCATAAAATACAATAGTAGAGGCTGAGTTACGCCTAATATAGAAAGTTAGGCGGAAAATTCTTTTGAAAGTAAGCAGGATATGGGAGCACTAGGAAAGGTTCGAAGAAAAACACACACCGAGATAAATGACACTTAGAACATTCTCTAATGCTCAACCACCAATAAAACAAGAATCATGAGAACTGAGCAGTTTACACAGGTTATGCTCACGTCTAAAACTAAAGGATACGGTACGACATTTTGAAGCATGAGACCATTCACGAAGGACTATCGTAAAACAGTAGATGAAAATCATTCAGCTGGGAGCAATCTACTGAAGAGAAGATAGGTATGGCAGCTGTTAGTTCATCAGCATGTTTGATGAAATTGATACTAACTGAAGATGGTAAGTCATACAGAAAGGTGGAAAGGACAACTCCTTGGGGAACACCAATCACAGTAAGCGATGGGATGGAGCACTTCCCTCTGTAAACAGTATATTGGTTCTTATTAGAGGAATAGGAATGCGGCCAGCTGATTATCCACAACTCAGTATTTGTCCTTGGCAGTTTGTTCAGCAAATACTTTATCAGTTTTTGTAACCGCCAACAAAATGGTTTTTTATCGGTAAAACATAGATCGATTTAAAGGTCGTTTTCACCACATACTGACATCAGTTTCAAGCTTGTCAGCAGGTTGCACCCAAGACCTTGCACTGGGTCATCAGTAACACATATGATTATTAGAAAGTTGTGGATTTCTTATAAAGCATTTAACAGACCGGTAGCTTGATAAAAATAGACTGTCTTCCTTTAACAAAAGAATACCAGTTGAATTGTTTTCCCAGTTTGTAACTTAAACAAATAGATTGACTGATTATGTGTATTATTCAACTTATGAATGTAAACAATTTTTATAGTCAAATGTTAAATGTAGTAATCAGCTATTAAGCGAAATAGGCATTAATTACAGTCATATGAGAGGAGAGTGAAAAGCAAGGGATCACGAAACGTTAATCGGTTATTACTGTCGATCAGATTGTTAAAGTGTTCACAGACTGTAGTCTTAATCCAGTGACTACAATATTTACAGAATCGTTAAATAGTGTCATTCAACTTTTGTTTATAGCTGTCTGTTTCCATCTGGCATATGTAAATGGAAACAAATTAGGGAGTATGACAAAAACTTGGTGACAGACAAGACTCTTCTCTTCTCCATTCTTATTCAATTTTATTGTAGACATCTCCCTCTTGTCACCTGACTACATAGAGGTTGACCTAATCGCAGAATTCCTGTCAGACCTAGAATAGGCAAGTGACAGCCCTGTTAGGTGAAGACGCTGATAAGATAAAGAGTCTTCTGAACACTTTGAGTGGCAATTTGAGAATGTTTGGGATGCGGTTCTCACCACCTAAATGCTAATTTTTGCTCGAGGACTGATCTTCAGCGGTACCACGGCTAACAATAGGGAGTCGAGTGTGTCAACCACTTCACTTACCTGGGAAGTAGGATCAGCCCTGGTGGGTGGCTCAGTGGCCGATGAAATCTCTGCACGAACACAAAAGTTTCGGTTGGCTTTTCCCAATTTACGACACCTGTGGCAACGCCGTGATACCCGTTTGTCTATTAAGGGTGGCGTGTACTGCACAGCAGTCCTCTCTGTTCTACTATACGGCTGTAAAGCAATGGCCATTGAAGGTGGAAAACATGAGAAGGCTGGCTGGCTGGCTTCAGGTGTTTGACCACCATTGCCTTCGTAATATAGGCCGTATTCCGTGGTGTCACCACATGAGTAACGCAGAAGTGAGGTGTAGAGTTTTAGGGAGAAGAGGTAAATCAGTTGACAAGGTTATGAACCCTCATCGACTGAGATGGTTGGGACATGTGTTACTTATGCGTAGTCGCTGACTGCCTCGTCACACAATGTTGGTCGAAGTTAATGCAGGCTGGAAAAAGGCTCGAGGTGGTCTGACTAAAACATGGTACCAGTGTATGAAGTCTCTGACTGTTGATTTGAGCCATGTGGGGCGATGCTGACCAGGTGGTTGGGGTGGGTGGGACAAGAGGAACCAGTGGTTGGAGACTGACTCTAGGTGATATGGCTCAGAATCGAAGTTAATGGCGCAAATGTATACACACATGATCCTCAGAATAATCGGTACAGAATCTCACCATTTTGTCATTCTTCTTTCCTTTCTTCTCGTAGTTTATATTTCTTTTGACTGAATTTTCTTTCTTCTTCATCTTCCACTTCACTGCCCTTTTACTTGATGTACTGATATGAGGTGTAGCAATTCGGACCGTTACGCAATAATGCCTGATCCTATGTTGTTGATGATGATGAGACTTTACTCGACTTGATTAGACTTGAAATGTGACTACGGGTAATTTGACAATTTGTTTCAATATGCACTGGGGTTTTTTTTTCTGTTGACATTCTCTTCTACAAATACCAAAATCAGCCGATCAAGATACATATATGTATGGTCATTTCTTTTTTCTTCTACAGATACCATGTCCTTTATGTCGTACCGAATCTTTGCCGTTCAATGAAGACCTTGTAAAATTGTCATATTCGCGAAAGAATTGTGATACTTCAGTGTAGAATAACTTTTTGTCTCTAAAGCTTAACTTCGTCTATTTTTATGATACTTTCAATGTATATTTAAATTAGACTCAAGCTTTAGTATCTACTAAATAAATTTGAGTAGTATGAAGAATGCTTATTGTTATACTTACCTACTTTTTTGTATGATATGGAGTACATAGTAAATAGTAGTAGTTATGTCCCTGATAATCTTTCGTTAAACACCGTGAGGGATTGTAGGAACTGCGATTACACTCCTACTGGTCAGCAGGCTGATTATGCACCTTCAGCGTCATCCCTATTACGTGTATTGGGTGTAGATTCGATGAACAAAGAATTAGTAATCAATCTCTCCACCTAATTATATTGGACTTAAGTACAGTAGTTTTATCCCACCTTATTATGCTGCCAAATCCATGTACCCAATACTTCGATTATGTGCAAAGGATAAGCTAGCTCCCTTGGCCACCTCCACTTGTGTGTGTTTGTTTATTAATTCACCTGTTCCTGTGGAATAAGGAATATCGACTGTGCTCCGCGTTTGCTTTCTAAGCGCATTTCTAAACACATGTCGGGTTGGTTCTACAATGGAGAAATGAGAACAGTTCGCAGCTCTATTCTAGAACACCTAACGGATTATGACCACCCGGTAAGTGCAGAAAACAGCTTTACGGTCATCTATAGAGTTCGCACAAAACTCATGAAAGGTGTATGCCGAAAACTCCTTCAAACTGCGGAAGCCATTGCAATTAATATTCCGAAGCCTAAACTCTCCGTTCAAAAGATATTTGTCCACTCACTCGAGTTGCAATGGACATAACCATAAGAACATTTCTATTTTCAAAAATCTTGTCATTCAGATCCTCTCACACATTACATTCCTCCACTCCTATAATCCTGATCTCTCTTTGCATTCACCATGTTACGTCATTTAACTTAGTAATCAAATATTACTCCGATCTTAGTAAGTCTTCCTCTCATTACTATTTCAAACACTACATAATTTCATTTTAGTCTGTTTATTAGAAATATCACACACAGTAAAACAGTAACATTTACTGGATAACCACGTTTCGGACACAATTTATTGTCCATATTCATATCAGGTAAATAACTCCACAACTTCGAGACAGTCTTTATATAGTCCTAGTTTTCTCTCCTTCTCTATGATGACAAGGGTAGTAGAATCTTCCATATATCTGACAGGTGCAGCATCATTTCCATTGCATGTGTTTGGTGTTGATTCGATAAACAAAGATTCACTCGGTTATCAATCTCTCCCTCCCTCTACCCAACTAACTTAGTTTTCAACACTGTCACCCTATCCCACCCTACTGTGTCACTGATTGTGTGTGTTGCATGCAGAGCTAAATAGCCGAGCTTTTCTCTAGATTTCTTATTTGATTACCATCTACTAATCTTGATTTAGCTGTGTTATTCTAATCGACCCTGGATGGTCGACTACTTTCACCTATGTATTTCACCTCACAATCATTGCAAGGAATCTGGTAGACCAGATTATTTTGCTAATTGCATCGATAGAATCTTTTACCCTACAAAGCTTGTTTCTAAGTGACTTTGTTGGTTTGAATGCCACTTTAATCCAGCCACCCTTATTGACAATTCTTCGTATGCTTCTGAGGTGCCAACCTTGTATGGTAACGCAGGAGAGGCTTTGAATTCTCTCTTAACCCTGTCACCATTATTACCATTAGTAGTGGGATTATTATTAATAACACCTGTATTACTATTACTACTACCATTGATAATATTTTTCTTTCGATTTCTTATGAATTTATTTGTAAATTTAGGTGGGTAATTATTGAGACGTTGGGTATTCTTGATGTGTCTGTATATGATTTTCCCTTGGGTTCCTAGAGGAACATAGGGCTTCATTAGCACATCTCCATTGCACTCTGTTCTCTCCAGTCTTCTCAACCTGGCGCCACGACTACTCACAAGCTTACGTTTCCTCCCCACATGATCTTCACTGTCACCCTCAGCTGGGACGCCCAACTCATCATTTACCCCTTGGATTCCACTCGAAGGCTTGATCTGACGCCTGGTGTCCCTAATCGTCTTCTCAGTGCATGCCCAATCCATCTCCACTTTCTTCTACTGCATATTTGCTGGGTGATAGGTTCTTGCTTCGTTGGTTCGTTCACAGAGGTCCTTGTTGCTTATTCTCATTATTCTGGCCATCTGATCTTCAGTATCGAGTTAGCCTAGACTGCAGCTGTTGATGAATGTCTGTAGTTTGTTGGAAATGCTTTTCGTGGCACACCAAGTTTCTCAACCATATAGCAGAACTGACTTGACTGAATTGGTGTTACAAATCCAGACCTTGTTTTTTGTGCTGAGCGGAGTGCAGTAGATCTCCACACTGATTACTTCAGATTAATGAAAGCCTGTGTTGCTGTCTTTCCAATCCTGGCTGGCTTTGACGTCCTCGTCTGTGCCCCCTGTAGTTGAGACGATGCTTCTTTGCCTAGGTAGGTGAAAGAGACAACTTCCTTTAGGTTTCTGCCGTTCATAGTGATTGCAGCTTGTTGTTGCTGTTGTTAGTTGGGAATCATCATCACCTCTCTCTTCTCTATACTCACTTGAAGTCCCATCTTCGCTGCCTCACCTCTTCTGTCAACTTGTAGGATTTTGCCTGTAGATCTTCAAGTTTGTGTGACATTAGACATAAGTCATCGGCGGCGAAATCCAAATCTTATAGGATCTTCTCCCCGGTCCAGCGTATCTCCCTCTTCTCGCTCCTCACAGTTTACTGCATGATCCAGTCCATCACAATGAGGAATATCATGGGTGATAGTAGACAGCTTTGTTTCACTCCTGTCTTCACTTCGAAGGCATCACTGAGCTTTCCATTGTGAATTACTTAGCAAGTGGCGTCTTCATATAGTTGTTGAATGAGGTTGATAAATGTTTGTGGTATTTTATAGTGTTGGAGCAGTTTTCAAATTACTTGTCGATCGATGCTGTCGAAGGCCTTTTCTAAGTCGATGAAGTTGAGGTAGAGAGTTGACTGCGATTGTATGCTATGTTCTATGATGATGTGTAGCGTAGCGTTGCAATTAGATTGTTCTTCTTGAAACCAGCCAACCTGTTTCGGTCATAATTTTGAATCCAGCGCAAACTTTAGTCTCTTCAGGATGATGCGGCTTAATAACCCTTCGTATTAGGTTGAGACAAAGATAACCAAGAGAATGGAGGGTTTTAAGGTTAGGACAAATTGATTTTGAATACACAAGAGGGGTCGGACTTTCGTATGGCTTAGGCTCCAGTAAACCTAGGTATGCGGTTCTGATGTCTTCTACATTGTGGCATAAGGGCTGTTATAAGGTTAGACGATAACCTCTGACTTCTCCTGTACTTCAATGTAATTGGTTTTTCAGGTATTTAGGGATATATCCCACCACACTCGACTTCACAGCTCGATTACCCCCTCCCGGTGTGTGTCACCGCACACACATGTAAAAAAAATACTATGCAGTCAAACTCAGTATTATAGAGGAAGAGAAACCTACGCTTCAAAATAAACCTCATCAATACACAGACGATTACGTCATATCCCATTGTGTATGCTAACTTACACGTTTGAGCAGTGACACATATAGATTATTACATAGGAGCCGCATGCCTATGTCTACTGAAGCTTTAGCCATAGGAAAGATCAAAACACCTTTGTGTATTGAAAATCAGTTAGTTCTCACCTAACCTCCCGCCTCTTGGTAATCTTCGTCTCAACTTCATACCAAGGAAGTTGTGAAAATGCGTTATCATTTATTTTTACAAATCGTGTATTTCAATATGTGAAACATGCATCAGGATATGAAAAAAGAGCAAGCATATTTCAGCAAAGTTTTTCGGTGATTTTATTTTCATATCTGTAGAATCGCAAATGTATACATTTTTTCTAGTGTAAGAATTTATTAGTTAAAAACAGTTTTTTAACCATGGCAACACAAATAGTGTTTATAAATTATTATTATTTTCCCCTTGGGTTCCTAGTGGAACTAACTGGTTATTTGGCCTTACTCCACCCTATTTTTACCTTCCGCATAAATTGCAACTGGACAAATAAATGTGACCAGATTGTTCAAAATTTCTTGGTTGTATTGTATTCACTGAGCTGGGTTGTCTAATCGTGAAGCTTTCATCGTCTTGCTAGACGACATCATCAGCACCACCTTCAGTATGACCGATAGCTGCTACCTTGACGTGGTGATCGGACTTGCATATCTCAATGACCCAACGAGCTATGCTGGTGGAACGCTTGTTCCCTTGAGGTCCTACCATACCAGAAAGGTCTGTTGGATAGTGGTTAGATGAAAAGCAGTTACCGTTATAGTGTAAATTGCTACACTATGATGGGGATCTGAGGGCGAAGTCGTACTGCTGCTAGCTGGATGGGGTGTGACAGCAGTAAGGTGTTTCCCCTGGATGACCAGCAGTGCCATGCTGATGCTGACTTCTCAGTGGAAGGGGGAGGATAGAAAAGGTCGGCCCTAAAAATAACACACTCCACCATGCCCCACGGTCTGCCGGGCCGGCGGTGTTGGTTCACTTGTCGTTTCCTTTCGACCATCCGGCCCCAAAAATACAAAAGTTCAAAATAATCATATTCAAAAGGCTGCGTGTGACAGGCCTCAAGCAGATGTCCGATGGGCTCTGCAGTCACACAAATCTCTTCCAGGTACCTTAAGAAGAAATAGCCTTCCACGGTGTGGGCAGTCGGGAAGTGTCAACCGCCCTCACAACTCTGTCAGCACTCAAGTTTCTTCTGACTTCAGTATGAAGTCAATCTTCCACTCCACCCCAGTAAACTAGTTTTAAGGGTTGTCACTTTGTTCTATCTTATTGTATGGTTGTGTGCCGTAACATGTATAGCTATGGTTGAGCTTTTCCCTAGATTCCCTATCTTACTACGATCTACCAATTTCGATCTAGTTGGGCTTTTATGCTTGGAAAGCCGGATACGTCAGCCATAGCTTTGCATACAAATACACAGTACAATGAACAGAGTGATAATCCTTAAAACTAATTTAGCAGGGTAGACGGAAAGATTGATAAACAAATCTTTGTTTCAGTTTAGAGGTTTATGAAAATTTATTTATTTATTTTAGGTTTCAGAAACACTGGACAGCTGTTATGTCCTAGTATGAAACTCCTCAGGACCTTCAGGTTCCATGAACTGACAGAAGTAGGAAATGTGAACCGTTGGCTCAATGGTAAAAACAATCCATATTATGTGGAGTTACATTTTTAAAATGGAGTGACGTTAAGGGATTGTAAAGAAATCTTTAAATTTGTCAATATTGGGATGATGTATATATACAGAAGAATGATATGATGATGGACAAAAAGATAACAAATAAGATAACAGGAGTGGCCTTTAGTTAACTGAAGGTCAAGGGAGAAGTAATGCTTGGACATGTTCTTTCTGAATCCGGAGTTCAGGCTGGATCAGTCTTATTGCGACAGCATCCGCTATGTTGAGCAGGCGTTAGTGAGCTACATAAGGTGTCGTTTCCGGAACACGATGAACGAGATTGAAAGCTTTATTAGTATCTATGTGATGCCCTGTATCGACTAGATACGCTAGGACTGGACTTTTCACCTTTTTCACTTCACCGTTTCCAAACCAACCTGGCAAGTGCTCCCACATCCGAAGACGCTTCTGTCTAATCGTACGCCCTATGTATTCACAATCTAAACCAACAAGAAAAGCAGGATCGACCTAATTTTTGTTTAACCTAGAAATTCTCAGTATGTATAGCAATGATGGGCAGTGGCTAGCAGTGGGATCCAGGATGCGCATTTCGTCCTATTTGGGAGTCACTAGTCAGCTGGATGTACTTGCCTCCCAGTGGGTGATCTTGTTCCCACCGGGAATCGGACTCGGGAGCGATCGCTACAAACGCGAGAGCGTTATCCACTACACCAGGGAGCCACGATAACTTCATTTTGTGCGATGAATATAGTTTTAGTATTATTGCTTGTATTATACTGTTGTTGATTGGACCGAATTGATCAGTCTCTATTGGCATATTGGCTTCTGTGAGGATGCCTCCATATTACTTGTGTTCTAATTATAGCTAAAGAGACCGAAATCGGACGAAATGCGCATCCTGGATTCCACTGCTAGCCACGATCCGTCATTAAAACGAAAAATCAGGTGTTTACTGGTTATAGGGATTTTCCACTTGTTAAACTGGATTGAATTACAGTTGTGGATGTTTTGATGTTGCCTAAAACATTTATTCCACTGTAACTTAATTGTTGGCTAACAGTGGGAGCAATTAAATTGTAGTAGGCAACTAGCTACAGTAATTTTAACTGACACTGAACATCCACTTCATTCACAGCTCTCTCTCTCTCTCTCTCTCTCCTTGTATCTCCCATCAGAGAAGACATCCTGCATTCCACTGCTAGCCACTGCTCATCATTACTATACATAACTAAAACATAGGCAATACCGAGGCATCCGCACAGGAGCGTATATACCAACAGAGACTGATCAATTTGGTCCAATCAACGATGGTAAAATACAAACAATAATACTAAAACTATGCCCATCGCACAAGATGAGGTTATCGTGGCTCCCTGGTGTAGTGGATAACGCTCTCGCGTTTGTAGCGATCGCTCCCGAGTCCGATTCTCGGTGGGAACAAGATCACTCACTGGGAGGCAAGTACATCCAGTTGACCAGTGATTCCCAAATAGGATGAAATGCACATCCTGGATCCCACTGCTAGCCATTGCCCATCATTACTATACATAGTTTTAAAAAAAAACAGGCAATATCGAGGCATCTGCACAGGAGCCTGTATATGCCAACAGAGACTGATCAATTCAGTTCAATCAACAACGGTGTAATACAAGCAATAATACTAAAAATTCTCATTCTAAACAAACTAGAAACAATAACAAAACAAACAAGACCATATTCATCAGCTGTATAACATTCTCAATTATCATTCTTATAATATAAGATTAAAGTACAAACAATCATGTACAATTAAATTAAACAATGATACAAACAGGAATAACTAACTTGATATATATATATATATATATATATATATATATATATATATATATATATATATATATATATATATATATATATATATATATATATATATAATCAGCTGGGTAAGATACATCGCCTTTCAAAAATTGACTATATTGATCAGCTGTGTTTTTCTTTTTTTCTCTCAGTTATTTCAACAATAAATACCTTCAAAATGAAGTTAATTTCCTTCTTTTATTATTTGTACAAATATCATTTCAATTTTATTATTATTATTATTATTATTATTATGATTAATAATGTCTGAGTGTTTTCTCTCCATTAACGTGATGTATTGTCTATTATGTTAGTTACTTGTCTAGTATGTTCATTTTCTTGACTAAATAATTCTGTACGAAATCGAAAATAGGTGAATATAATCATTCCAATCAATGAGAGTATATACACTGTACAGACTAGTTCAGGACAAGGTGATGCTAAAGTATTCATTAATGACTAAAATATAAATAATATTCACATATAATGAATTTATTATGAATTAATTAAATACTTTTTAAAAAGAAAAAACAAACAAACAATTATTCATAATTTAAACATGGCGCACTAATCTATTTAGGTAATTTGGAAACTGCTTCATTACTACGGAGTACCGCAAACCTTTATCCGCCTCATTTAACAACTATATGAAGACGCCACATGCCAGCCAAGTAATTCACAATGGAAAGCTCAGTGATGCTTTTGAAGTGAAGACAGGAGTGAAACAAGGTTGTCTACTATCCCCCATGATATTCCTTATTGTGGTCGACTGGATCATGCAGCAAACAGTGGGGAGCTGTGAGAAGAGGGGGATACGCTAGACTGCGGAAAAGAACCTAGAAGATCTGGATTTCGCCGATGACTTGTGTCTGATGTCACACAAACTTGAAGATCTACAGGCAAAAACTAACAAGTTGGCAGAAGAGACAGTGCAGCGAAGACGGGACTTCAGGTGAATATGGAGAAGACAGTATGATGAAGATACCGCACCAACAACAACAACAAACTCCAGTCACCACCAACGGAAGAAACTTAAAGGAAGTAACCTCCTTCACCATCTAGGAAGCACTGTTTCAACTACAGGCGGGACGGACGAGGATGTCAAAGTCAGAATCGGAAAAGCAAGACAGGCGTCCATTAGCCTGAAACCAGTGTGGAGATCTTCTGCACTCAGCATGTGGAACAAGATACGGATCTTCAACACCAATCCAGTCAAGTCAGTGATTCTGTATGGTTCAGAGACTTGGCGCGTCACGAAAGGCATTTCCAATAAACTACAGACATTCATCAACAACTGATTACGCTCGCTACTGAAGATCAGATGGCCAGAAAGAATAAGCAACAAGGAGCTTTGGGAACGAACAACCAAGAACCTATCACGCAACAAATATGCAGGAAGAAGTGGAGATGGATTGGGCATACACTGAGAAAGCCGACTGGGGACATCACGCTCCAGACCACTCGCTCGAGTGGAATCCCCATGGGAAGCGACGAGTTGGACGTCCGAGGGTGACATGGAGGAGATCGTGTGAAGAGGAAATGAGAGCTTGTGGGCTGTCGTGGAGCCAGGTTCAAAAGATTTCAGAGAACAGAGTTCACTGGAGACGTGCTACTGAAGCCCTATGTTCCATTAGGAACCCAAGGGACTAATAATAATAATAACTAATCTTTTGTTTGAATATAAACAAGTAACAGAGCTGAAATTAAAAATAAGATAAATATTTAACAAACTACAAGATATTGCCTTAGAAAGTCGATGTATCAGCAATGGATTCTAGGTTAGAGTTCCATGTAACCTGGGCAACATATTCAAGGTTCATTTCAAGCATATTATTTTCTTTATATCATTTATTTCATGCAAATCAACAAGCTTTATTCTATTTCTTATCAGTGATATGAAAATAGAAAGAAATGACTGATCTAGAGAGTGGTCAATCAAAATATATTTTAGAAAAAAGACTAATTGACTGTAGAAATATATTCCTTTTTCAATTACATTTCCATCTTCGCTTTACAATAATATATCGGTTTACAATTTAATCAAATTATCAATCAAGTGGTGGGCGGGGGATTGATGAACAATAATCACAGACATCTTAAAGTCATCAAGATGATAAGTTTTAGAAATAAAGATGTAAATAATCAATAGAGTAATTAAAAGTAGGTTATTCTTAGGTAAATGAAGTGATTTTTCATCAGTATTCAGTCATTCACAATAATTTTATTATTATTTGTCCTTGGGCTCCTAGTGGAACATACAGTTCAGTAGCACGTCTCCACTGCACTCTGTTCTCTTGAAACGTTTCAACCTGGTTCAACGACAGCCCAAAACTCTCATTTTTCCTCGCAAGATCTCCTCCATGTCATCCTCAACCGAGACGCACAACTCACCGTTTCCCATCGGGGTTCCACTCGAGTGTCTGGCCCGGCGCGTGATGTCCCCATTCTGCCTTCTCAGTGTACGCCGGGTACAATCCATCTCCACTTCCTTCCAGTGCATATTTGTTGAGCGACAGGTTGTTGGTTGGTTCGTTGCCAGTCAAGCCAGAGTTCCTTGTTACTTATTCTCATTATTCTGGCCATCTGAGCTTCAGTAACCAGCCAGCGTAAGCAGTTGTTGATGAATGTCTGCAGTCTGTTGGAAATGACTTTCGTGATACGCCAAGTCTCTCAGCCATACAGAAGCACAGACTTGACATTGGTGTTGAAAATCCGGACCTTGTTTCACATGCTGAGTGCAGAAGATCTCCATAGTGGTTTCAGGTTAATCAACGCTTGTCTTCCTGCCTTTCCGATCCTGGCTGGCTTTGACGTCCTCGTCTGTGCCACCTGTAGTTGAAACAGTGCTTCCTGGGAGGGTGGGTGAAGGAGGCTACTTCTTTTAAGTTTCTCCCACTGATGGTGATTGCAGCTTGTTGTTGCTGTTGTTAGTTGGGAATCATCATCACCTCTCTCGTCTCTATATTCACTTAAAGTCCCATCTTTGCTGCCTCTTCTGTCAACCTGTTAGTTTTTGCTGTAGATCTTCGAGTTTGTGCGACAAGACATTAGACATAAAGCATCATCGGCGAAATCCAAATCTTCTGGGGTCTTGTCATCGGTCCAGCCAACGTATGCCCCTCTTCTCGCTCCTCACTATTTGTTGCATGATCCAGTCCAGTTGACCACAATCAGGAATATCACGGGTGATAGTAGACAGCCTTGTTTCACTCCTGTCACCTGTCTTCACTTCAAAAGCATACTGAGCTTCCCATTGTGAATTACTTAGCAAGTGGCGTCTTCATATAGTTGTTGAACGAGGTTGATAAAGGTTTGTGGTATTCACAATAAGCGATTACGTAATAATAAAGCAAATCAATACTAATAGAAGCAAAAAAGGGAAGAGGTGTACAAAGTAATACTAGAAGTTACACCTCATGTTGAGAGCCACAGTAATGAAAGTGGTCAAACAAACTTCTTTTGAATACAGAGGTTAGGTTTGTAAAAGTGGATTGCAATCGCCTCTGTAAAATAAGCGAATGCCCAATCCATATGTTAAATAAGTGGAACATGATAAATAATTTTAAAAGCTTTTCTAGTATCCACTTGATGTCCAGTGTCAACTAGGCGTGCAAATATGGAGCTCTTTATTGTTCGAATTCGTCCCTTGCTCAAGCATGATGGGTGGTGCTCAGAAATTCGACGATGAAGCTGCCTCATTGTATGCCCAACGTGACTAGCTCCACAGGAGCAGTTGAATTGATAGATGCACGTAGAAGTGGCAGAATCAGTCACTTCGTCTTTATTTCTTGCACTTAGAATCGCGCGGTTGTAGAAGGTGGGACATAACTTTAACGGCTGGGAAGGGTTTATACAAGATTCTTTTTATGTGTTGCGTGATGATCTCACTGACAATGTCACTCTCGAATTTCATCTTCGACCACTTTCATTACCATAACCAACAACATAAAGTGTAACTTCTAGGATTACTTTGTACGCCTCTTCCCCACTCTTGTTTCTATGACTATTCATTCGTCTTATTATTACTACGTAATCCCTTATTGTTCATGACTGAACAATCATCAAAAGTCACTCCATTTACCCAAGAATAACCTGCTTCATATTCCCTTTTTTTTCAACAAGCACTAATCACCATCCACGAAAGAAATCTAAAAAAAAGTTGTCTCTTTCGTCAGCATCGTTTCAAATACACGCAGCACAGACGAGAACGTCAAAGCCAGGATCGGAAAAGCAAGACATAGCTTCGTTGACCTGAAATCAGTGTGGAGACCTACTACACTGCACTGCACTCAGCATAAAAAGTGAACAAGATCCTGATTTCAACACCACTCCAGTCAAGTCAGTCAGTGCTTCTATGTGACGGTCGAGAGACTTGGCACCTTACGGAAAGCATTTCCAACAAACTACAGACATTCATCAACAGTTGCCGCTTACGCTCATTTGATACTGACAGTGAAGATTAGATCAGAAGACCAGGCCAGGTCATGCCCTCGGGTGAAATCAAAATGGGAAACGACGAGTTGGGCCTTCCAGCTGAGGGTGACATAGAGATCGTGTGAGGAAGAAATGAAAGCTTCTGGGCAGTGGTGGAGCCAGGTTAAAGGAAAAGACTATGGAGAAGAGAGTGAAATGGTGACATGCTAGTGAAGCCCTGTGTCCCACTAGGAACCTAAGGGATAAATAATAATAATAATATCCAAATTTTGAGGTATGTGCGGATTTATTGACTTCAGGTTGGTATACATCATGAAATGATATCAGTTGGAGAAACACTGAAAACCTGTGAGCACTGAACAGCTGTTTTGTCCTAGTATGGGGCTTCTCAGAAGTACACAACCCATGAGTCCACCTCACCAAGGAATGAACCAAGGAGTTTCAGATTCAGAGGCCAGCACATTACCACTGAGCCACTGGGACGAAACTCGGTGGTGCATATTTCCTACTTTTGTCAGTTCACGATATATCACGACCTCTATCCAATGCCAACATTGAGTAACTGTCATGTTCGACTTGGTTGGCTTCAATGGTCACGATTTCTCATTGGAACTTCTGAGAAACTTTTCAGAAGTGTATGGGGGAGATCGTAGGAAATAGCTGATCACATTCCGAGCAGTCAAAATAAGCTATTACACATCATTCAGAGAAATTCTTCATTGCTTACGTGCTAATTCCTCATCAATGAGATTATCTAAGAAGATAGTGATAGCAGCAAGATTGAAAAGTTACACAATTCAACGACTCAAACTACTTATCACTGTTAATAAGTAGTATAGATAACATGTATAAAATAAACAGTCAAACACATGAGTACTCACCAGAGCAGCTAATCCCATATGCATGATGTACACAAAGATAATTTGGCCGTATAGTCGATGTACAAAAGCAGTGAACAGAGTAAGAGACCAGAAAATATGAAGCATTGAAATGCACATACCTTCACATGCTAAAGAATGGAGCACATAGATAAAATGAATGAAAGAAAACGAAAGTCATACGATAGCCATAAGATACTACTGATAAAATGCATATATCTTACTTTATGAAGCAAATGACTTGTTTTACTTCATGGTTATTCACTGGGTAGATAAAATCCGTCCTGTTAGGGTATACAACTCTGAAGGGCTCTGCAGAGTAATCTCCCACATACTTTATATGAAGCGATTGGTCACCAGGTTTGAGTCCTGTTGAGAACATCACTAACTGGGAGGCAAGTATTCCCAGCTGACGAATCACATATAAAACGAAAGATGCGTCCTTAATTCCGCAATACATATCATTACTCTTCCATTAACATATACATCTACTAGCTGTTTGCACTTTCGGTAAACCTATGCGTAAATACATACCGGCAGAATAGATTTTGAAAATTCAATTTTTGCCTCCATCTGTAACTATCAACATGACCCCCGGCATTACTGAGTAACGGTCACAGTTACCACAACGTATATCAGCACATCCAGCAAAGTGCAAGAAGAGAAAGAAATAATGAAGAAAGTAGTCATAGATGGTAACAGGTATCAAGACAGAGCAAGGAAAATCAGTGAATTTCGTATTCAGGATAACGATTAAGATACATCTATGCTATTGAGATCGATTCTGAGCCATGTCATTTACAGTCTCCAACCACTGGTTTCTACCTTCAAGTGGATATCAACCGGCTCAAAAAAGCAGTCAAAGTATAGGTGTGAAACGTTGGCACTGTGGTCGAGTGTAATTCCATTTTAATCTGTTTATTAGAAATATCACACACAGTGAAGAAACAGTAGCATTTACTGGATCATGTTTCGACACAATTTATTGTCCATATTCATATCAGGTAAATAACTCCACAACTTCGAGACAGTCTTTATATAGTCCTAGTTTTCTCTCCTTCTCTGTGATGACAAGGGTAGTAGAATTTCCATATATCTGTGACAGGTGTGCAATCATTTCTGTTACTGCATATATTTGCTATTCATTCGATAAACAAAGATTTAGTTATCAACCTACCCCTGCCTATCCATTCAACTAAGTTAGTTTTCAACACTGTCGCTCTTTCCCCCAGTCCATTGTGTAATTGTATACAGCTGGAAGCATAGCCATAGCCTATAGCCGAGCTTTCCTATAGATTTCTTATCTGATTACCATCTACTAATCTTGATTTAGCTAAGCGTTTTTGCGCTCTGTTATTCTAATCGACCCTGGATGGTCGACTACTTTCACCTATGTATTTCACCTCACAATCATTGCAAGGGATTTGGTAAACTAGATTGGTTATTTTGCTGAATTGAATCGATAGAATCTTTTAACCTACAAGGCTTGTTTCTAAGTGACTTTGTTGGTTTGAGTGCCATTTCAATCCCAGTCACCCTTATTGAGAATTCTTCGTAGTGCTTCTGAGGTGTCAACCTTGTATGGTAAACAGCAGAGGCTTTGAATTCTCTCTTAACCTTGTCACCATTATTACCATTAGTAGTGGGATTATTATTAATAACACCTGTATTACTATTACTACTACCATTGATAATATTTTTCTTTCGATTTCTTATGAATTTATTTATAAATTTTGGTGGGTAATTATTGAGACGTAGGGTATTCTTGCTATATGTCTAATTTCTTGTCGCAGCAGGTCATAGCATCATAACTACCTTCTATGTTAGTTCAATATACGAAATTATTTCATATCCTTAACTTATTTGACCTCATTTATGTTTAGGTCTAATAAAATAGGTGTAATAGGGTTTGATGAAAAGTTTAAGACGATATTCATTCCCGTATATTGTAAATTTATGCTATAGGTGATAATTTAACAACAACAACAACAAGAATCTTGTTAGTTCAACATTATGTGTAAAACAATCAATAAAATAATTTCGATGGTAAATAAGTCTTTGATATAGAATTGAAGGTAACCATCTCTAACAGTAAACTTTAGATAATCAAGGACTACTTCTTAAGTAATAATTTCGAATAATACGCTGAAACTTTTAGGCAGCATATAGCACCAATCTATAACTAGAAGTGAACAACGCATTGGCGTTTGAAGCGACCACCCCCCCCCCCCCAAGTCCAAATCCCGGTGGGAGCAACATCACTCACTGGGAAGCAGGTACATCCAGATGACGAGTTCCAAATAGGACGAAATACGCATCCTGGATTCCACTGTTAGCCACAATCCATCATTAACATAAGTGAATAATATTAGCAAATATACGGATAATCATAGTGAAAAAAAACAAATCAAGGTATGTCACAATTTGACTAAGATTGAAAAAGTTCAGCCCACTAGAAATCAATCATACTCAGTATCTTCAAGTTCAAATTGTTATCAACCAATATTAGAAGCATAGTAAGCTTCATTCAAATGATTAGGATGCAGAGTATAGATGTAGACTATTGAATGGTTTTAAGTGTAAAACCTTTGACACTGTCGGAGAATTTAATTCTATACTGGATTTATTTATTTCACTTAATTATGATATACAGTGAGTGATACAGTATTATTCACTAGATGACTGACTTTTTTCGAGTATAATCATATTAATTTAATCACACTACTTACGATATCTGATTTTTATAATCCTGTCACCCATCTGATATTCTTTATTCTTATTGGTAGTAACATTTTCCATATCTCTGGTAATAGGTGTTGCATCATTCCTACTCCACATGTATTGGCTGAGTGTTGATTCGATGAAGAAAGATACCGTAATTAATCTCTCTCTCTCTGCCACTAATTATATTGGACAGTACAGTGGTTTTATCCCACTTTAGTGTGTGTGGTTGAGTGTTCCGACATCCATTACAATAGACGAATTGCTTCCTAGATTATTGATCTGATTCGAGTCTATCATTCCATGTTCCATTAATCTAACTAACCTAGATCGGTTAGTTTCACCTATGTATTTGACCATACAGTTATCACATGCAATTCGATAACTTAGATTATTTTGCTGGCTCCTCTTGTCCCACCGACCCCAACCACCTAGTCTGCATCGTCCTACATGGCTTAAACCAACAGTCAGAGACTTCATACATTGGTGCCATGTTTTAGTCTGGCCACCTCGGGCCTTTTACCAGCCTGGACCCACCTCAGCCAACATTGTGTGACGAGGCAATCGGTGACTAGGCATACGTAGTACGCGTCCCAACCATCTCAGTCGATGAAGGTTCACAACCTCGTCGACTAACTTACCTCTTCTCGCCTAACACCGACAATTCGAAGTGTACGAAAGTAATTTAAAGGAAGATATAAATACGAGTACACTTCAATTTAGAAGATAGTGCACTTTCTCCCTAGATTGTAAAATACACTGTCTTCAGATCAATGGCAGCTACAAGCATACAACTTGATTGAAAGATTTCAACTTTGGTCATTAAATAGTTTGTATACATATAAGGTGTACACAATAGGCCCTCCGATAAAAGCAGAAGTCCTGAATACCATAAGACTGCTGAAATCCGGGATGTCAGCAGGACCAGATGGAATTCCACCAGAGGCACTTAAAACAGACGCAGAGACAACAGCGAATATGCTCACACCACTACTGCAGAAGGTTTGGAAGGAAGGAAAGGTACCTGCAGATTGGAAGAAGGGTTACCTTGTCAAACTCCCAAAGAAGGGAGATCTAAGTCTGCTAGAACTGGAGCGGAATCATGCCCCTGTCCACCCCAAGCAAAATATTGTGCCGCATCATCCTGGATAGACTAAAGGATGCACTGGATTCAAAACTACGACCGGAACAGGCTGAATTCAAGAAGGACAAATCATGTGCGGATCAAATTGCAACGCTTACCATCATCATAGAACACAGTATAGAATGGCAGTCAACTGAATCTTTACCTCAACTCCATCGACTTTAGAAAGGCCTTTAAAGCGTAGACCGAAAAGTAATTTGGCGACTGCTTCAACACTACGGAATACCACAAACCTTTATCAATCTCATTCAACAACTATATGAAGACGCCACATGCCAAGTAATTCACAATGGGAAGCTCAGTGATGTTTTTGAAGTGAATACAGGTGACAGGAGTGAAACAAGGCTATCTACTATCACCGTGATATTCCTGATTGTGGTCAACTGGACTGGATCATGCAACAAGTAGTGAGGAGCGAGAAGAGGGGCATACGCTGGCTGGACCGATGACAAGACCCCAGAAGATTTGGATTTCGCCGATGATGCTTTATGTCTAATGTCTTGTCGCACAAACTCGAAGATCTACAGGCAAAAATTAAGGCAGCGAAGACGGGACTTCAAGTGAATGTGGAGAAGACTGAGGTGATTAAGATACCCAACCAATAACAGCATCAACAACAAGAGGCGCCAATCGCCACTAACGGGAGAAATCTAAAGGAAGTAGTCTCTTTCACCTATCTGGGCAGAGGAACATCGTTTCAACTACAGGGGGCACAGATGAAGATGTCAAAACCAGGATCAGAAAAGCAAGACACGCCTTCACTAATCTGAAATAATCAGTGAGGAGATCTACTACATAGCATAAAGAACAAGATCCGGATTTTCAACACCAATTCAGTCAAGTCAGTTCTGCTATATGGTTGAGAAACTTGGCGTGTCACGAAAAGCATTTCCAACAAACTACAGACATTCATCAACAGCTGCAGTCTACGCTCACTCGATACTGAAGATTGGATGGCCACAAAGAATAAGCAACAAGGAACTGTGGCAATGAATCAACCAGGAACCTATCACCCAATAGATATGCAGAAGGAAGTGGAGATGTATCGGGCATACACTGAGAAGGCCAACTGAGGAAATCACGCACCTGGTCAGGTCGTCGAGTGGAACCCAGATGGGAAGCGATGAGTTAGGCGTCCCAGCTGAGGGTGATATGGAGGAGATCATGTGAGGAAGAAATGAAAGCTTGTGGGCAGTCGTGGTGCCAGGTCCAAAAGACTGTAGAGAAGAGAGTGCAGTGGAGACGTGCTACTGAAGCCCTACGTTCCAGCAGGAACGAAGGGGAAAATAATAATAATAATGTGTACACTAACAAGAAAGATGGAAAAGTTTTTTTTTAAAAAAAACCAACTTTCCAATATAGACTTACATGCAATCAAGAAGAATGTTTTCGAATCCAATGTTGAATGCATAAATATACCGGGTCCATAGGAATCAATTGATATTCGTAACAATTGAATAATACAACTCATTACAGCAAATCCTAAACCAGACACATAAGCAACTACATGATGGTTAAGCATTAGAAGACTGGTATTGTTACTAGTCAAATTATGACTATTGGTATTATCAGCATTGTCATCAGTAGGTGTAACATTAGTATCAGGTGATGTTATTCTGCTTCTTAATAAACTGGAAGCTTCATTTCTGCTCTCATCAGTATTATTAACATTATTATTGATAGTTACGTTGACTTCTAGTTGTCTTCTGCAAGTTGACAGTATTCGTCGTCTTGGACTTGAATTGTTCACAATAACTTGAAGACCAGATTCAGCTCTGCTATAAGAAACGAAAAGAAAAAAGGGAAAAAAAAAATAGTAGAAACAGCTTTTCCACATTTCTTCACTAATGTCAACACTTTCACTAGAAGCCTTAAGGTTGAGTATGAGATGGCGTATCTATAAAAACTCATAATATGAAGTGTATAATTTCTTCAGTCATCTAAAAGTAACATTATGAGTAGGAATTTTAATCCCTAAGCAAATAAACTTTAAGCAAAATCTAGTAGAGAAAAGAAGAGATAATTCAGCGAAGAAAGTTCTTTCCTTTTCGGTGATATCACTTTTAAAAACTGCACAATCGTATATATGTATATCCGTCAAGGACGCCCACTGTCTCCATTCTTATTCAGTTTCATCATAGATATTTTCATGGAGGTCCCCTCTAGTCACCACGTTACATAGACGTTGACCAAATCACAGGTGAATTTTCGTTAGACCTAGAATATGCAGATGATATAGTCCTGTTAAGTGAAGACGCTGACAAGATGCAGAGCCTTCTGAACACTTTGAGTGGGAATTTGAGAATGTTTGGGATGAGGTTCTCACCACCCAAATGCGAATTTTTGCTCGAGGATTGGTCTTCAGCTGTGCCACGGCTAACAGTATAGTGTGAAGTGGTGGAGTGTGTCAACCACTTCACTTATCTGGGAAGTAGGATCAGCCATGGTGGGTGGCTCAGTGGCCGATGAAATCTCTGCACAGATGCAAAAGATTCAATTGCCTTTTGCCAATTTACGCCACCTGTGGCAACGCCGTGATACCCGTTTGTCTATTAAGGGTGGCGTGTACTGCACAGCAGTCCTCTCTGTTCTACTATACGGCTGTGAAGCAATGGCCATTGACGATGGAAGACATGAGAAGGCTGGCTTCAGGTGTCTGACCACCGTTGCCTTCGTAATATAGGCCGTATTCCGTGGTGTCACTACGTGAGTAATGCAGAAGTCAGGCGTAGAGTTTTAGGGAGAAGAGGTAAATGAGTTGACGAGGTTATGAATCTTCATCGATTAAGATGGTTGGGACACGCACTACTATGCCTAGTCACCGATTACCTCGTCACATAATGAGGCTGGAAAAAGGCCAGAGGTAGCCTGACTAAAACATGGCACCAATGTATGAGGTCTCTAACTGTTGGTTTGAGCCATGTTGGGCGATGCAGACTAGGTGGTTGGGGTCCGCAGAACAAGAGGAACCAGTGGTTGGAGACTGACTCTAGGTGATATGGCTCAGAACCGATGTCAGTGACGCAGATGTATACATACATACACACATACATTATCATCTTAACGACGCCATGCTGAATCTCACCAATTTCTCGTTCTTCCTTTCTCTCTTTCAGTACTTTATATTTCTTTTGACTGCATTCTCTTATCTTCATTCTTCGCCTCACTCCTTTCTACTTGATGTGCTGATATGAGCTGTGGCAACTCGGACCGTTACGCAGTAATGCCTGGTCCTATGTTGATATTGATGATTGGTGAGGATAGTAAACATATAACAGTCCATGGTAATTTGCTTATTTGTGGCTAGCAGAGGAATTCAGGATGCGCGTTTCGTCTTACTTGAGACTCGTCGACTGGATATACCCACACCCCAGTGTGGAGTGATGTTGTTCCCACTGAAACTCAAACCTCCTATCCATCACTTCAAACCTCAACGCGTTATCCACTTGGGCACGATGGACGCCTCTTGTACAACGGGTATTAGTTATTACTATTTGTTGATGTTGAATCGAATTGTTCAACCTCTATTGGCATATGGACTCCTAAGCGGATGCCTTGATATTGCCTCAATGTTAATTATGGTAAATTACTTGGTTGTTCATTGTTAAACAATAGGGTATAATTGCATCATTAAGCCAGTTAGTGATAAAAACAACCAAAATCAGGAATGGAAAATAGTTGCGTAATAACTTTTTAGGTAAGGAGTTTGAAATGAAAACAGAATACGGAGCAAGTACTCACAGTTCCAAAGAAGACCTTGTTTATTAACGTTGGTTTCAAAGGCGATACGGCAGCAGAGATCCTGAAGAATCGGCCCTCTAGAACACTGAAGAAGACATTCTTCTCCGTGAAGCTACAGATCAGCTTCTTTAATCAGCAATTGGTTCCGGAGTGCGTTAAGGACAATTTGCTGCTTTGGGCCACCTCAATGTATGTGTCTACAAATTTACTTGCTCCTGTGGAGCTAGTTATATAGGCCGCACAAAATGAGCACTTTCCAAACGTATTTCAGAGCACTATCCTGCATGATTGTCAAGAAGAGAATGTAAATCAATTAACAGTTTAATTCTTGAACATTTGGTCAACTCTGGACATATAGTTCGATCAGAATCCTCCTTCAGTGTCATTTATCGTATCCGATGGAATAGTTCAAACGACTATGTTGCCACACGACGGCTACCCACGAAACTTTATCAGAAGATGCCTATCCGGTACATTACCAACTACATTGTCATCGACAGAAATAAATAAACGCATAATCCTACCATACATAAAGAACATGTCAGAAATCACGCCAAGATTACTGAAACCACTTCGTGGAATCGGTGTGGCTCATAAACCAACAAATTCCCTGCAAACACTAAAGGATGCAACAAACCGAATATCATTTACAAAATCAACTGCAATAACTGTAGTCAACACTACATTGGACAAGTGGTCACCCTCTTCACCTTCGTCTACATGAACACCAATTGGCTATTAAACATCACACACGACATTTCATCACTCATTTCAATCCACGTGGATAACAACTGTGGACATGAATTCAATTTCGACAATGTAGAAAACTTGGACAGGGAGAGGAAACACAAAGAATATCAGGGAATTCATGGAAGCTTGGCATTCAGTCAGTCCAGCAATCAACAGATGTACAGACATAGACCCGACCTATCAACCAATAAGAAAGATGATGAACGACAGAAAGGTTAGAGGTCAAGCAGAAGAACAGCCAACAGGAAAATCTATGCAGTCAATAAATGAAACAACCAATCATAGACCACTTCTCCAGGTCAAGCTACTAATCACTGACGAGATACTGACATCTCACTTCGTACTGAAGTTCGTGCTGATGATGGCGTGTAGAAAGATGATGAAAGCTTCACCCAGCTCAGAGAACACAATACAACCAAGACCATCCACCTGAGCTACAAATATTCTCCACTATTTCAACACTCAATATTCGCATTTCTCATCTACCAACACAAGTTTTCAAACTTGCCAAATTCCTTACCTTCCTCCTTATTTCTACTGGCTAAAAGATTATTACGCAACTACTTTACATTCCTGATTACGGTTTGTTCTAGCGCTAGGTAGCTTAATGATGCAATTATACCCTACTGTTTAATAATAGACTGTTATATGTCGATGATATATATAAGTACGATTGTACAGCTATAGGAAATGATATCGTCGAAAAAAAAGAGAATGTTTCTTTGCTGAATTATCTCTTCTTTTCTGACTTAATGACCATATTTCGTCGTCTAAAAATCTAAAGATTGAGGAGAAAACAAGTTGTTATATTACTCTTCAGTATTAACTTGTAAAACGGAAGGGCTATTAAAACTCCATTTTACCAACTCAGATTTATGGATAATTAGAATAATAAAATTAAAACATTATTATGATTATTATTACAAGCAATTAAATCACATAAAATAAATTAGATCCCCTTATATATGATACCTTTACTTGGAAGGGTTGAATGTTTAAAATCATCGTTTCTGATTACGTAAAGTGGGTCATGGAATGATCTACCTGAAAGAGTCAAAACGAAACCTGACGATTAGGTCAGACCTACTCTACATACTGGAATTATGGTGATATCGTAAGAGTATGGACAATACATAAGACTACTAACCTCCATACACACTTAAATCAGCAGGTTATGAAAATACTTCCTAAAGGATTTGAAGAATTGGAGCATAGTGTATAGGTAAGGCGAAAAAACGTCCACCGATGAGCTTCATATCATAACAAACAAGTTTGTTCACTTAAAGTATGCAAATTATTCATCAAAATAGTAGTAATGATGAATAGTGGTTAGTGGTAGAACCCAAGACGCATGTTTCATACTATTTGGGACTTGTCGTCTGGATGTACATGCCTTCCATGGAGTGTTGTCACCAATAAGGCTCGAACCTACGACTAATTACTTTAAACGCCAGAGCACCATCCACTTTGCAAGCAATAACATTAAAACGACACCCATCGCACAAGAAGTGGCTATCATGGCTTCGTGGTTTAGTGGATAATATTTTGACATTTGAAGCAATTGCTCCTGAGCTTGAGCCTTATTGGGAACAACACCACTCACTGGAAGGCATATACAGTCAGATGAAGAGTCCAAAATAGGACAAAATGCACATCCTGGACTTCAGTGGTAGCCATTGTCCATCATGAATACCAAACTGGAACTACAGGTAGTATCAAGGTATCCGCGCAGGAGCCAATATGCAAATAGAGACCGGTTAATTCGCCCTGATCAACGATGGGTTATTAATCAGAAGTTCGAAAACTAGCAGTATCCATTACAAAATAGACGTACATGATAAGTAAGTAGAAGAGGAATCGTAGAACTTCTTGTACCAGTACACCAATGAGAATTCCAAATGCAAGATATCCTCGAAGAGGTTTGACAATAAACCATACCACAGATGTGATAAGTAATGATACCAACCAGAAAAAACCACTAGATCAGATGAATTAAGAGAAGAGAAATACGAAAAAGGCATACGTTACAAAAAATAAACGTAATAAACAGGCTAGAAGTTGTTCTAATTATTGTTGGGTAGGGAGAAGTTAACGCTTACAATGTGTAGCGATGGCTCACCTACTTTTACTCGTTTACAAAACCATCTGCTTATTACCAATGCTTTCCAGTTTTATCTTTGCTTTGTCTTAATTAGATCTTTTTGTTAGCAACATGAAATGCCTAGAGCTTTCTCAGCCAAAGGAAACCACTCCTAGTCATCTAATATCTTGTCACCGAATGTCTGCAGCTTTCAACATTCAAATCCTATGTCAATAGGTTTCATTAGCTAAGAAATGTCGAATCTAGGGTTTGGAATACATGTTGTGTTTTTTAGGTGCACAGACAAGACCAATGTGTAGTTACTCACCTAACCTAACCAGGGGTAAAAAGATGAATCGGTACGATTAAGTTACAACCTCAACTATGCGGATGCTGCGACTATAGATCATGTCAATTTAACCTCTGTCACAAAAGCTACAATTAAGATTGAGCAATAAACAAAACGAGCAGCAACGAATTTATTTAAAGACAGAGTGATAAACGAAAATCGAAGTAAACAGGACATTTAAAGCAGATTTTACAGCATTGGCTAAATGGTTATTAAGATGATCTAATTAACTTGATAATTAGTAAATCAATTCGTCATACTAACAATGTAGTTTGCGTAGATCTAACTCTGGATAAATAGATTTCTTGTCAATAAATATAACAATGTAAAATTTCGTGAAAGAATTTTATTTCCTAATACAACTACCCCTTGAGTATCGACGACATGATGGTCATTTCTTCTGAAGTTGCTGATGACAAGATAGCAATAAATTTCAGAGAATAACGCGAACTGCTCGACCGGATATTACTTGGTGGTCGTTTACAGACCGTCCCACTCAATCCTCTACCAAGAGCTGCTACTTTGACGCGTTGGTTAGTTTTGCCTATCGCAATAACCCAACGAGTGATTTTGACTGGAAAGATTATTCCTTGAGGTTCTACTATGTCAGGAATGTCTAGGGGACAGTGGTAAAACTAAAAGCAACTATTGTCATAGCGCTGATAACTTAAGCCATAGTGGTATGAGTGTGAAGTCTTACTCTTTCAAGTACGTCACGGAGACATCAAATGACGTCATATGGCGTATACACTGGGAGTATAAAAATGCCAGCTAAACGTGACCTACCTTACCTTTTTCTCTTCTCATGTTTTTACTCTTAGCTCTTGTTTCCAATATTAAGGCCCTAGCAGTTTACACAGCTCCGCACTCTACGATTATTGCTAGCGATTCAAGCCAGCAAAACATTATTTTCAGTCTTTTGAAATCAAGTAGCCAATTTAATACTGAAGCTCTCTACGTATTAACCCTATGCCTAAAGAGCCAACAGATTCCACGTGTCAAAACCTTAGAATCTCAAACCATTTACGTATTATGCGTTTCCAATATAAACATACAGGATCCAAATCGGGCCACTCACTTGATCATATTCGGTCATTGTGGTGAATCTGCAAAATTTACCTTACAAGAGTTCAGAGACTCGATGTTTAGACTCATTGATTTTCTCATGTAGAAATGTATTGCGCAAATACATCATATTTTTCAGATAATTTTCGTCTTCTAATAACATTATTGTAATTAACTAGTGGAGCAGAAAACCCACTTTTCAACCAGTCAATAGCTATCAGCATGACCGTTCGGCTGAGTGGATATGTGAGAGCTAGAAAAGATCAGATATCTGTCACTGTCTATTCCTAGTCTCCGTTAAGCGCCAACTAACTCCAGTTAAGACGATGCAAACAATAATTGTGCTAGGTATCCATCTAGCCACATAAATCATAACGCTCAGATAGAGCCAGTGCAGTAAGTGATTTCGACGCTCAAATAGGGAAGCTGGTCCAGTTGGATAGGCATACTGAAGGTAGCTAAAACCTCTTGGGTCGAAGAACCAACAATGTTGATAATCACTTTTTTCCCTTATAACCACTAACTCCAAGCATAAAGAGAGACACTACATAACTTGGCAACAGCAGACATCAGGTAGGTGACGGTCATATTATGACAAGCTATTGTCGCATGGTCATGGCTCTTTCTGAAGTATCTGTTTCGACTCCGATCACAGTAGCAGTAGTCGGCATGATCAACGGGAAGCTAGCATCCGAAATGACTGATGCGAGATAACTCATTCCAGCTGACTCTGAACCCGATGAGGATTGAAAACAGTTCAAAAGTAAATTGACTTAGTATCTTCACAATGATAACGGACAGTGGCAGGTGACAAAAGTAAAAGCGATGGAGAAGGTATCAGCGTTAGTTAAAACTCGATAACTAATTAAACTTACTAAAGATAATAGCAAGAAGAAGACGATCGCTAGTGAGACCATTGCTGTAAGCGATAGGTCTCTATAATTTTTCAGGACATATGGTTATAACGCTAGGCGGAACACTTTGAAGCACAGTTCAACTGGACCACATCAAAGCTTGATTTCCCTAGAATCCAGTCTGAACTTGGATGGGAAATAGATTTCGGTTCTCCAGCTGTCCTGGAAGTTTAGAAGGCTATATGGAACCTGAAACGATGCTAATTTGCAGGACCTAAGGGTTTGTTGCCCGAAGTTCCCAAACAAAGAGGTACGAAATTACAGAATGAAGTAACGGACATACTAGTTAGTGTATGGGAATCAGAGATAGTCACGACAGACTGATCTGCTTTATTGATTATTCCAGTCTATAGGCAGAGAGAAGTCTTCTTGTGACAATGATAGGGGAAATTCTGTCAAAGATCTTAGAGTTAAAAGTTAGAAAAACGTTAACTAGAGCTCGAGAACAACAAACTCGAGAAAAGCAGCCAATATCAGACCTTAGGTGAATCTATAGCAATCAGGTCTTCACCTTTCAATACGTTTTGGAACACAGGCATAATTTACCGGTGCTGGATAGTGGCCATATTTCCTGACATTCGAAAAACCCTCAAGTCCCACAACTAAAAGGTGCTACGCCAATGTCTTATTGTAAGGGGAGTACCGGATAAGTATGTAATGATAATTAAAGGTCATCACTTGAACTCAAGCAGCCGTGTAACAGCTTATAGGGAGTTGACATCTGAGTTGATGACATTCGGTAGTATCCACCAAAATCCGCACTCTCACCATTCTTGTTTGACTACGTTATTGACGTAGCAATGAATACAACTCTGATTTCCCCCAACCTTACGGGGACTGACTTACTTCTAAGATGACACCTGGTTGACTTTGAGTATGCAGAAGACATTGTCCTGATAAGTGATGTTGACAAAAGGCAGATATCTCTAAACTCCTTGAGTAGAAATCTCAGTTTATTAGGTATTTCACACTTTTCAAATGTCAAGTGATGCTTTAGGGTTAATCTGAACCGACTCCTAGTTTGAGGTTAGAGAGTGAAGTGGTATGTTGACTTCACTTACTTACGAAGTTGTATTAGTCCGGATGGGTTGGTTGCTGATGGAATCGCAGGTTGGATACAAAAGGCCCATCTGGCATTCACCAAGTTGAGTCTTTTGAGTTGACTGTAAATAGCGTATGATCGAAAGGAGTGTTATCTACAATAAATCCAGATGTATGAGACTGAGCTCATTTATACACAACTGCTTGAAATGTGAAGTGACTTGGTGTGAAACCTTTTGAAGGATTCAGTGCCCTCCTTTAAAAAACCCGCATCTTGTACACTAGTTGTTTGGATATTCAGTGGTAAATATGGGGTCATAACAGTCTTCCCTCTCACATTTATAAATTACATTTTATGCCTTATCTACTGCCCCTGACTTGAGAACGGAAGTAAATTTGTCTTCTATACTTACTCACACAAATATATGCATAATGGTTATCTCCCAATACATAGGTAAACTTCCTCGAGTCAATGAGTTTCCTCATTGGAGTCCATAAAAAGTCGTTGGGTTAAAGCTACAACACTAGAACTTAGTGGTGATCAAGTTATCTGGCGGGCCCCCCTTAAAGTAAAAAAACAAATCCATATGTCAAACTTAAAATTCCTACTTTCAAAATGATCTGAGTCACATATCAACAACCTCGAAACATTTGGTGAGTAAGTTTGCTTGTAACTCTTGTGTTTGTCGCTGTATGATATTTCACAGCCAAATTAATTTTGAACTAGCGTTGGTGGTTTAGTATGCTGAAGTATAGTTAGGGTACGACTCATACATGGCTAAGTGCAACGTTAAGTTGCATAGGATCCTGATTTGCATTAAAGAGACTATTGATTTATTTGGTTGGAATTCAAAAACAGATTTCACATCAACTAAAGACCATACTTCGAGTATCTTAACATTAAAGGATGGAAAAACCGAAGACAGGGACTTTTTACCAATATCTTAGTGGCTAACATTACCGACAGAAAAAGTCAGTAAGAATTAAAAAGCATACTGTGATTATCTAGTGGGCTATCATGGTTGTCTGTTTTGTTTTCTATATAAACTATGCTTTAATGAACCAAGAATTGCATTAGCAAACAAGTATTAAGATTAAAGTTCTTATATACTAAAAATGAGCAAATTCACCTGGCTGTAAGTAAAATAACTTTAATAGGACTATTGATGACTGTACAAAGAAGAAGAACCGCACAGGGACCCAACCCAACAAGTGTACAGCCAAGCCCTCCCAAATAAGTCATCCGTGATGTTCAAAAAGCATAGAGCACTGAGTTGGTAACTGCAATAAAAAATAGGCCTTTAGAATGAAAAAATGCTATAAATAACAGTTATTATCACTTTATAAAAACGACAGAATGTTTGACAACGATGGAAACAGATAAAAACTGAAAGCAGAACAGGCAAACTTAATAAATATGACTATTTAAACGCTAGAATTGGAGTCACGTTTTGGTAATTTTGAACACAGTGAAGGTAGAAAGAGATTGATTGGGAATCTTTTTATGGTTGTTCGAAGCAAACAAGTAATGTTTGATTGTATATATATTTGAACTAATCACTTCGTCTGAGGCGACTCAAGCAGTTGGTAGTGGAGGAGTAATAAGGAAGGATTCAAAAACCCGTGTAGCATTTACTTCAGGAGCACTTCAGAATTTTCGAGTACTTGATGTTACGCGACAAATTCCTTGTGCAATCTGAAGCGGTTCACTGCAGTTTTCATAAATGCCCAAATGAACCCAAAGATGCACCTCAAAGTTCCAAATGTTGGGATTCAATTCAAGATCTAGGAGAAATGGCCTCTGTTTGCATAAAAAGAACATTAATTTCCAAAACTAACTTTGGTAACTGAATCTGTCTTTTAAGTGTTACATAACAGTACGGATATAAACTTTTCCCCAAAGCAGCTTAGTAAAAATAAATAACTTTAGACAGCACCCAGAATTTTGGGTCCTTGAGATTCACTTTAAGGTATGTCTAAAGTTACCGAATCGTCTCCAAACTAAGTGCTACCAAAGAGAAAGATCAACTTTGGGAAACAGCAATCGTAGAAATAATTCGTACAGTGCATATTGTACGTGAGAAGTCCCTCATCAACTCAATCCGTCTTCTGAAGATTCAACTGATTATGTCCCATGATATTACTACAATCTAATCATTCTGAGGTAATGAATATTTAGTTCTTCGTGCAGCGAAAGTTGCGAACTAAGAGCTTAGAATTGAAAACAGGCCGAATTCGACTAAGCTTGAACTCGATCAGTCGATCTATCCTAATTTTTATTGTATTATTATGCGTGAAGATACAGTTTCTTCTGTATGTACTCAATGAAGGAGTTACTTTTAAGGTTTTAGTTTCATCAATGTATACTTAACCCAACTTAAAAGGATTACATCATTAAAACTTGTTAGGAAAGCATCTCAGACATTGATCTATCTTAACAGTGGGGTTGGAATAAGGCACGTTTTAATCTGAACGATCTATTCGTGAAAATAAAATCCTACAACAGAAGCAAAGTTACCTTTGTATTGAGAACAGTACAATGTCCAAACTTCATTCTTCCACTATCAATAGTGAAGGCCTAAAAACTAATAGTTTTGACCCCTTGTTCTTATTTCTTGGGGCTTAGTGGCCAAGTAAATCTCTTCTGCTTCACAGCTTTTAGCCTTGGAGAGATGAATGCATTTTGGGTTGGTAACTGTGACCTGTAGACTGAGATGGTTTAGGAGCTCTGGGTTTCTGGGAAGATTAGGGGTTCTTTCATGACTCCTGTCTGTACAGATACCTGAACATGAGTAGCAAGAGTGTGAGAAAAGGTACATGGGACCTATCTGTGAAGAAAAGTAAGTAGTACGGATATAGATGCTGAGGAAATCAACTGATAATAGAGGTGCATCAACCAAAAAAGTGGTGAGTGGTACGTAAGAAGAAAGTAGTGACAGGATAGTGGGCCATTGGTGCCTTGAGTACGTCTTCCGTAGGCCATAAGAACTGGCGAGTCTACTTAGAGAGCTGCAACCACATGAACTGTAGAGTGTAGCGTCACACACTTCCCCAAAATCAATAGCCTAGGGTTTGACCAGATTCAACATTGATGCCGACCTTCATAGTTTAACTGGACTCGCTAAGCTGAAGGCACCCGGTCAAGCATCCTCGCCATTTGGCACGCTGTCGTGTTACGTTGCACTGCTCGTATTCGACTCTCTAGCCAGTTAGTTGGAACGCATCGGTATTTTGGCACAACCAACCAAATATACTATTCCACCCGACTACGCTATCGTGTTCTTCCTTGGTCTTGTACTCGTGGGTATATAACAAGTCCGAATAATTAGTGATTGGTCTTCGTGTCTGTCAAGTTCGCACCAGGACAAATCCTAAATTGGTGAGCCCGATGCGATCACATATCCCGACCAATAACAAGTATTGAATTGGTGAGCCTGTTCCATTTCATGTTTGTATATTGCTTTCATTCCGATAACATTTACATATCCATTTACTACACTTTCTCATGTCCGACCACACTCCCAAGCTTATTCGTATTAAGCCGACTACGAACACGATCCAACTCGTGCCATATTGGCCAGATAATGCGGAAACATGGTTTCTGTATGCCGAGGCAGATTTTCGAGAACAGGGAGTCTCAGATCCTCATCTCGATTTCTTGCTGTCATACGTCACTATCGCGGGAATTAAATAGACATGTTACAGCACACATGTTTAATCCTGAATTAAGTGATCCTTATGCACTTCTTAAGGCCACACTCTTGAAGAAAAGCGATCTCACAGATCGCCAGCATCTAGACGAATTACTTCGTAACACCGAGCTAGGCAGCCACTCAGCTACTGAAGTCGTCACACGCATGCGAGAAGTAATCGGTGCACGGACATTCGACGATGGCCTTTTCCGAGAACTATTTCTCTCGAAACTACCACAGCCGGTGCAAACCGTGTTGGTGACACTGCAGTCAGTCCCACTCTATGACCTGGCAGCCTCGTCAGATAAAATGCTGGAGGTTTCTAACAGACCTGTCTCCAAAGTATATTCTGTCTGCGACAGACCAGAGGTGACCAAGCTGTGCAATTCTGTTAAACAGTTGCTACGATCTCGAAGTCCTAGTTCACGTAGAACTCTACAGAAACGCGTCTTAGCGCATCGCAGCAGCTCACGTGGTTGCCCCAAAAATACATCTAACAGGGTGGAAAACCCGAAATGGTGGTGGCTTCACAATACTTACGGAAGCGAAGCCAGAAGATGTCGGAAACCATGCAGTTTTAACGAGGACTCAAACTCGGGAAACGATCACGCCGGCACGTGTTCACGGCAACCGTGGCCGGCAGAAACAGCCGTTCGCTCTACGTCACGGATATTAAAACGATAGTTCGCTACCTCGTCGACACCGGCGCAGAAGTTGGTGTCCTTCCAGCACCGACAAGGGAGCGTCATCATGACCTATCCTTCAGTCTGCAAGCAGCCAACGGCAGGGCAATCGCGACTTTCGGGAGATAGTATGCCTACCTCAACTTAGGTTTACGCAAACCTATCCGCTGGATTTTCCTCCTAGCTGACGTCTCTATGCCCATCATTGGCATAGATTTGCTAAACCATTACGATCTACTCGTAGATGCTCGCCGTCGACGACTGATAGATAACAACACAAAGTTATCTATTGGCGGCACCACCTATGTAGGTCCGAGTTTAGCCATCGTTAGAACTAAACAATCAGGCGACGCGTCCTACCAGGCAGTTTTGGAGAAATATCCAGAGTTACAACAACCGAAGCACACTCTTCCGTGCATAACCAGCAATGTTATGCATCACGTCACAACCACAGGTCCACCTGTGGCATCCAAAGCGCGCCGTTTAGCCCCCGATAAGCTCAAACGGCGAAAAATGAATTCGACCACATGCTCGAACTGGGCATTATCAGACCGTCGAACAGTCCTTGGGCATCGCCATTGCACATGGTTCCCAAAAAGGATAGCAACGACTGGCGTCCAACCGGTGATTACCGAAGGCTTAACGCCAAAACAACTCCGGACTGCTACCCTATACCTCACGTTTACGACTTGACCGCAACCTTATGCGGCATGAACATTTTCTCCAAATCGACTTGGTCAAAGCGTACAACCAGATACCTATGGCAGCAGAAGATATCGCGAAAACAGCCATTATTACTCCTTTTGGCCTGTTTGAATTCCTGCGCATGCCATTTGGTCTTCGGAATGCAGCACAAACATTCCAACGCTTTATGGACGATGTCTTCCGTGGTCTGAATTTTGTTCATGTCTACATCGATGACTGTCTAATTGCGAGTCCAGATAAGGAAACTCACCTTAAACATTTGGACCTCGCATTCGAAAGACTAAAAAACATGGCATCACAGTTAACTTACAGAAGTGTGAAATAGGAGTTGAATCACTCAGCTTCCTTGGGCATACCATTGACAACAAAGGTATACGCCCATTGAGAGATAAAGTGGCGGCTATCACAAACTATCCAGAGCCGACCACTGTGAAACATCTCCGCACTTTCAATGGCCTGGTAAGTTATTACCGAAGGTTTATCCCTAACTGTGCCTCTGTCATGAGACCACTAACAGATCTACTTCGAGGAACTGCGAAGTTCGTGTCTCTGGACAACGCGGCTAGACTTGCTTTCTCTAAAGTCAAGGAAGCCATTTCGAACGCAACCATGCTTATGCATCATGACCCCAATGCTCCTCTGAGTATTGCTGTTGATGCATCTGATTCAGCAATTGGAGCAGTTTTGCAACAGTTGACTGACAACCAGTGGCAACCGTTAGCCTTTTTCTCGAGGCGGCTGCAAGACGCGGAAACAAGATACAGTACATTTGGTAGGGAACTCCTAGCCATGTACTGTTCTGTACGCCATTTTCGACATTCTGTGGAAGGTCGTGATTTCATTATTTTCACAGACCACAAACCGTTAACGTTTTCCCTCAGCTCGGCGTCTGACAAATACTCCCCTCGTGAGTCGCGACAGCTGGATTACATTTCCCAGTTCACGTCAGACATCCGCCACATTTCTGGAGCAAACAACTCCGCAGCCGACGCACTATCTCGAATAGCTTCGATAAACTATATCGAGGGTATTGATCTCGTTGAACTAGCTCGGCGTCAAAAGGAAGACCTTGAGCTGCATCATGAGTTGTCGTCCACAACTCTCAAACTGCGACTTTGTCCTGTTGGATCAGACAAGGATGCAATTTTGTGCGATGTCTCTGCTAGTCAACCACGCCCAATAGTTCCGAAGAGTTGTCGACGCAACGTCTTCAATACGTTGCACAAACTCTCTCATCCAGGTGTACGAGCCACCATTAGGCTTATCGCACAACGTTTCTGCTGGCCTGGGATGAACAAAGACGTTAAGGAGTGGGCCCAGTCGTGCTTAGCTTGTCAAAAGTGTAAAGTCACGCGACACACGAAAAGCCCTTTAGGCTCATTTCTAGCCCCAGACATGCGTTTCGACCACGTCCATATAGATATTGTAGGACCCCTACCAGAATCTAATGGATGTACCTACCTTTTCACCTGTGTTGATCGTTTCACACGATGGCCGGAAGCAGTACCCATTAAGGATATTACTACTGAAACAGTTGCTCGTGTTTTCGTCGAAAGATGGATCGCGAACTTCGGATGTCCATCTTACGTCACAACCGACCGTGGGCGCCAATTTGAGTGTGGATTATTTCACGCTCTAACGGCACTTTTAGGTTGCACTCGGTTCCGAACGACAGCCTACCATCCACAAGCAAATGGCATGGTAGAGCGTTTCCATCGACAGCTGAAAGCTTCCCTTTCAGCTACAAACATACCTCAGTGGACCGAGGCTCTGCCTCTAGTCCTACTAGGTATTCGTAACGCGTTGAAAGTTGATGCTGGATGCACCCCTGCAGAACTCGTCTATGGGACCACTCTTCGCCTACCAGGTGAGTTTGTTTCCCCTTCAACTTTCAAACATGTTTCCGACAGGGCATCTTACGTGACTAGGCTTACAAACGCAATGCGTTCAGTTAGGCCTTCTCCGATTAGACCGCAAACGACTGATGTTTTCGTTCACCCCAGTTTACAGAAGACATCACACGTGTTTGTTCGCCACGACGCTGTTCGTCGACCACTTGAACCACCCTACGACTTGCCATTCAAAGTGATCAAGCGACACGAGAAATTCTACATGATTGAGCGAGACGGAAGTAACGATACTGTCAGTTTCGACCGTTTGAAGCCAGCTTATTTGAAAGGCAACCCCACTATAAGCGACGTTTCGGCTGGCTACAGTCGACCGACGGATAGCTCAACTATCGAAATTCTTCACGATGTGCCTAGTAATGCACGGTTACAACAACCATCGGCGCAACAGAAAACACGACCAGGTAGAACCATCAGGTTCTCGGAGTATTTAGGATCGTATTCAACTTAGTGGTGTGAAATAAGATGTGCCAACCATTTTTTTAAATTCAATATTATTTCCGAGGCATTATTTTTCTTATTCACCAGCAATGCGAAACCCCTCGTACATTTTGCCTTTTTATGTCAATTTTTTATTACCATGTAGTGAAAATTTTTTAGAAAACTGTGAAAATAAGCGTAAACTTTATTTTCGATATATTTGTATGTGCATAATTCCCCATTTTCACTAAGCGTTTTCATGGCATTAAAGACTTTCACTTATATTCCAGGTGCAACGAGCACTGGACGGAATGTCAAAGAAAACTGAGGACTGTGATCGAAGCACAATTCGATTTATTGTATTTTATTTTTTAATTGCCACGACACCCTAGAATAAGTTCAGACAACCAGGGGCCACTTCACGCAGTGAGCCCATCGGAAGAGTTTTATCAATGGAGAAACCACTAGGCTTTTACTTCCGGCTGGTATCGTTTTATGGTCCTCACGAACCCACTAAGGGGGGAGTGATCTGTAGCGTCACACACTTCCCCAAAATCAATAGCCTAGGGTTTGACCAGATTCAACATTGATGCCGACCTTCATAGTTTAACTGGACTCACTAAGCTGAAGGCACCCGGTCAAGCATCCTCGCCATTTGGCACGCTGTCGTGTTACGTTGCACTGCTCGTATTCGACTCTCTAGCCAGTTAGTTGGAACGCATCGGTATTTTGGCACAACCATCCAAATATACTATTCCATCCGACTACGCTATCGTGTTCTTCCTTGGTCTTGTGCTCGTGGGTATATAACAAGTCCGAATAATTAGTGATTGGTCTTCGTGTCTGTCAAGTTCGCACCAGGACAAATCCTAAAACACTACCCTGGACGACATCGCTTTGCATAGATCTAGGGGAGGATTAGCAATTACTGAATTTTACTACCTGAAATCGACCATCTAAAGATGTTCTAAGCCAGGACATTAACGGGTCTTGGAAACCATGTGATTGCAATTTTGTGACCAGGCTTTCGTGTGGCACCTTATCGAATGCTTGTTTGAAGTCTAAGAAAAGGGTAGTTACAAATAGGCCTTGGTCACGCTTACTTGTAATTTGGTCTAGATAGTCGAGATAGCTGGTAGCGCATGACCAGCCTTTCAAGAATCCATGTTGTGCTGGCGAGAGTAATTGGTTTGTCGTCATGTAGTCGACAGCTGCTTTCACAGTCACCTTTTCCATAGTCCTGGATACTACTGACATGATATTTATAGGTCGGTAGTCTTCTATATTACATGTTGGTCCACACTTATGCTCAAGACATGTGTGATAGTTTCCAGTTCTCAGGGTAATTGCAACTGGAGAGGGACGTATTAGAGAGCTTCAAGAGAATGAGCGGTATATCTTCGCCACCTCTTTTTAACGGGACGGTTGGAATTCCATCAGGTCCCTTGCTGTATGAGGTCCGAAGTGGTGCTATAGCTAGAGAAATGTTTTGTTTAGTGGATAGCACAGCACTTATCGAGTGAGTTGATGTTGACGGTGTACCAATGACTTTAATTTCGTCCTCTTGTGTAAAGCAGCTAGCAAACTGGTAACCGAAAAGCTGGCCGATTTGGAGTGGGTCGTTGTAGAGGAGGCCGCTGTCTATGATTAAACTAGGGGTACTATTTCTGGAGCCGCTTATCCGAGTTTTCCCCATTCTCACTAGTGCTTCTGTATTGCTAGTTTTACTACTTCGGATGCGTTCTTGTTTAACGGCATAGGATTTTGAATCTTGAAAGACTAAGATGCCCAAATCCTTCTTTATCAGTAACGCTCCAAGTCACATGTCTTTGAGGCTTTATAAATGAGATGCATCATGTTCTGTGTATATCGCCCTGCATTTCTCAGAATTGAATGCAAGCCCTTTGTCGACTGCCCAGTTCTGAAGTTGAGTCAAGTCTTCCTGCAGGGAAAAACTGTCGTCTTTACTTCTGATTTCTCTCAAGAGTTTCAGGTCATCGGCAAAAAAGGAATTTCGGGAGGAACCTGTTGAGGCAAGTCGTTCATGCATATCAGAAAAAGTAGAGGCCCTGGCACTGAACCCTGGGAACACCGCTAGGACATTCTGTTTATTTAGACATAGAGAAACTCACCCGAACTCTAAATGAACCACCCCGTAGATATGAAGACAACCAGTCAATGAGCGGAGGTCGAATCCCGATTAATTTTAGTTTATCAATAAGACAGTCGTGATTAACACGATCAAACGCCTTAGCAAAGTCTAGGGAGATAACATCAATCCTTCCTCGCCGGTCAATAATCCCAACCCACCTATCTACAGCAGTGGGCAAGCTGGTAATGCAGGAGTACCGTTCTCGTAGCCCATGTTATTGGGGAGCAAATAAATTTATCTTTATGAGGCAATCGCCCACTCCATTGTATACCAACGATTCCATTACTTTGGAAGAAACGGATGGAAGTGTCACCGGTCTATATTTCTTGGTATGCTTCGTTGACCCTCTTTGAAGATTGGCGTCATGCGGCCCAGCTTCCAGGAGTCAGGCACTACCCCTTGACACAGTGGACTCTTAAACAACTTACTCAAGGGTTCGGACAAGATTGGGGGTTCTCTCGCAGTACCACCGGGTGGATTTTGTCTGGTCCCGGAGAAGTGTCTCTGATAAGCAGTAGCAGTTTGCGCTGTAATAGCTCAACGCTTAGGCCGACCACTAAGAGTCGTACTACGTTAGAGGGACATTCGTAAGCTCCCGAGTAGGTGGACGATGACGAAAAGATTTGCAGGTGCTGGTCGGCCAAGTGCTCAGCTGCTTCAGTGTCGCTATTAGTCAGTCCGTTGTCACCTAGTGGTTGAGCGACTCCCGCTTTAGCCTGCCGGAATAAAGCAGCGTAGTGGAAGAGACTTCTTGGGTTAGACACAAAAATTCTTGTAGGCCTGACTTGATGCCGTTGCCGATCGGCCCTCAAAGCCTTCGTACACACATTTCTTGCCTGTTTGAATTGCCTGTGGGTACATTTGGCACCAATCCTTTTGTGTTCAGCCCAGTGATGTCTCTTTAACTTAAGTAGTTTGTAAGTGTGGTTCCTTGTTACCTTAGGTAACTTGAGGCACTTCGGTCTTGAGAGTGGAACAGACTGACTGATCGCATGCATGTGCTTGTCAAGTATGAATTTCCAGTGGGTGTTTATATCTTGCCATTTATGGTTCACTTCTCAATCTGTCTGTTCCAGTGAGGTTAGAAGAGCTGGAGTGTTAAGTTGTCTGAAGTTCCGACGATGTTCATTGAAGGGTCTGGTTGGATTGGTTTCACAAACAAACTGGAAGCCAATGACAACGTGGTCACTACTGCCTAAAGGAGGTAGTGTTGCTAAGTTGTCTATGAGGAATTCTTCATTTATGAAGACGCAGTCTGAGCGAGATAGGGTTTGAGTATCCCTCACCCACGTTGCCGTCCTCACATTTTCCGTAAAAATCAGCCCCTCAATCGGATGGAAGAATCTGACTTCAGTGGAATCGTCACTCCCACTAAACGTGTGATCTGCATAGTTAACCTTCGGTAGGTCTGCTAAAATTAGCATGTGTGTATGCCCCAGTTTAGGAGGGCAACTGATTGCCTCCAGCACCTGGTTGTCACACTGTAAGTCTGCAGGTGGCCTCCCATAAATGACTTCCACCAGGTACTTTGTGGTCTTGGACAGCCTTATGGTGCACCGAACGGACTCTTCGTGGGACTCCAGATCTAGGATATGGACTTGGTGGGTTGAGAGGAGCTGACGTAGTGCTCAGTTGAATCGATCGAAAGGGGATTGAAAAAATGCAGAAACATTTCGGAAAATGGTTAATATAGCCTCACAGCCTCCTATCTTCAAAGAAATATATGGATCTGACAAATCTGAATCCTAATCCTGTTAATCATGACATCCACATTGAACATCGTTCCACTAACCTGAAAAAGCATGGTGAAAATAAGCATGCATTACAATTTGTATAGTTTCATTAGTTTGTATTAGTCTGCTGGTTTCATCTTTGTCACTCTTTTAGTTATTTAATGTAGCCATATGTAAGACCCGGGAATTTGGTAGCATTGGCGCGCTCACATAATTGTGTTCTGGTCTGCTGCTTTTATAACCTCTTTAGGTATGTGGGGTTGTCTTTGATCTATTTCCATATTGGTGATCAACATATACCGAATGAACTAGTGTTTTTCGTGAGGACAACCAATCAGGTTGGAGATGATTTGTTCAAGCTACTAACTACGTTCGTTTACCTTGTTGACTCTGCATTAACGTTTGATAAATTGTGCCGAAGATTACGTTAAAGGTTGTATGAGAAATTCGGTGGAGTAGGTAATTTGTTTGAAATAGATGAGTGCTTTGTTCGGAAACTAAAGAGTAGCCCAGAAAGATGACTTAAATAGGTCTGGGTAAGTTAAAACTTACCCAGTATATATATACATATATACGTCTTGGAAAACCACAGATTCTTGAGTTATACGACTGAAATACGAAGATAACATTTTCGGTTCATGAAGGATTGGTCGGAAAAATCTATCCTAGCAGTTTTTGCGAAAATATGCGGTGTTGCGTATCACTATATACACACGCACTTGGAAGCATATGTGCCTTTTATCTGAAATAGATTAACCCCATCAATCTATTTTCTACAAAAAGCGTTTGACGATCGGACGAATGAAGTGCTTTCAAAAGACTGAAAATATGTGCTGTCTTAGAAAGTTCTTGAATATATAAATGACATTGTCTCATATGCATTAGCGGCAATGGAGACAATGGTATGGTTTCGAAGATGATAAACTTATCTAAAATCCAGATGTCTTTATTTCACAGGTAAAACGTTGAGTTACAAATAAAATACCATTTCCCCTAATAACTACTTTGTCGTTCATATTCTTGATTCTGATTAATCAGTGCATACATGAACGTGTTTTGCCGTCACTGAAGTCGTGTTCGGCTGTATTCGTTTGTTTTCGTTTATTCCTGGTTATTACGCGTAATTAAAACTATTATATGTATGAAATGACTCTCATTCTGCCTAAAATATAGCATAGTTGGGTACTGGGCGCAGGAAGTTGATGTTTTCTGACTCAGAGATCATATATTCGATGAGGGTTTTGATTCAAATTAAACTTAGTGAATTTAAAAGACCATAACTTTTAAACTAAGCTATAAACCATTGCATGCATAACGTAATGATAGTTTTATGTACGTAATTCGCAAGAATGTTGGTTTGAAGGTCTTACTAGTTCGGCACTTTTTGTTTGAGAACTGGTGCTTACCCCTGATCTGTCTGCAGCAATGAGATTATGATAATCAGGAGGTATGAGTTAGTACCATATCCTTAAAGTTGCCTAAGTACTGCGGTGCGACTGTTATCACATGACGTGTATCTGTAGGTTTGGATCACATTCCACCTAATTCGGCCTCGTCTACCGGTTAGCTTCATAGGCTATCACACGACCAATGTAGTACATAGTCTAGTACACATGCCTGTATCAGCAGGATCGGCACCATTCATTGAAAAGTAAGTTTCCAGTGTGGTTGGTGAGAATACACTGTGGTAACTTTTCGAAGTTCAGCTTTTCAAGAGGCTTCTTGAGTTATGAGATATGTGAGAAGAAACTGGTTTGAGGCAGGTAGGGGTAACTTAAGATTTAGTACGTTCACTTACCACTCCAAGTTACTCTATTGTGTACCTTCATGTAGAACTAAGGAGCGAGAAGATACTATTAGTGTTAGAGAGCTAGGAAAAAGTGGTGGTAAATTCGGTCGAAATAGAAAGCGAGGAACCATATTTCGTGTTTACACATGTGCTGTTCCAGCTAAATGGTTGCAGCAAAAAGTTTAGAGCCGATATCGAATATCAACCGTGTCAAGAGGGTAATTTTATTCTCAACTGCAGTTGTGTCGGAAAGTGGGGTTTACTTACATTCTTCGAAGATGTACATGCAGTCAGTGAGCTGTCTTATAGGCAAAAATTGATTCCAAGAAAAAAAAGCGTTTGGCTTGTGCAATTGACTCTTCATAAGTGCAGACACTTAAAAAATGTATTTGGAGTGGAGTTGAGTTGTTCTGACAGATTTCAGTTGTTTCGACCTTCCATTTTCTAATGTCCTACTATTTTAGTGTGCAGTAACCCGTAGTTATATGCACTTTAGTGGCTGCTGTCTTGTTAAACACCACATCCCGACTGATAGCTGCTACTTTAACATGGTGATCGGGCTTGAGTATCACGGCGACCCGACTAGCTGTGATAGTGGAAATCTAGTTCCCTCGAGCTCCTACCATACCAAGAAGGTCTGTTGGGTAGTGGTTAGAAAAAAAGCAGTTACTCCTATAGTGTAAATTTTCACGCCATCGTGGGGGTCCAAGGACCAAGTCATACTGTTGATTGGAAGGCGTTGTGACACCAGTATAGTGTCTCCGAGGGATGACCAGCAGTACCATGCTGATGCTACCCTCCCCATGGAAAGTGGGAGGGGTTTAAAAACATCAGCCCTAAAAGTTGCACGCTCTTCTGCACCCCATGTTATCCCGGCCCCGATGATACGGGTTCACAGTCCACCTCCCAATCATCATCATCATCATCATTATCAACATAGGACCAGGCATTACTGCGTAACGGTCCGAGTTGCCACACCTCATATCAGCACATCAAGTAAAAAGGTAGTGAGGTGAAGGATGAAGATAAGTGAATGCAGTCAAAAGAAATATAAAGTATGAGAAGAAAGGAAAGAGGAGTGACAAAATAGTGAGATTCGGTATAGCGTTGTTAAGATGAGGATAATGTGTGTATACATCTGCGCCACTGACTTCGGTTCTGAGCCATATCACCTAGGGTCTCCAACCACTGGTTCCTCTTGTCCCGTGGACCCCAACCACCTAGTCTGCATCGTCCTACATGGCTTAAACCAACAGTCAGAGACTTCATACATTGGTGCCATGTTTTAGTCTGGCCACCTCGGGCCTTTTTCCAGCCTGAACCCACCTCAGCCAACATTGTGTGACGAGGCAATCGGTGACTAGGCATACGTAGTACGTGTCCCAACCATCTCAGTCGATGAAGGTTCACAACCTCGTCGACTGACTTACCTCTTCTCCCTAAAACTCTACACCTAACTTCTGCATTACTCACATGGTGACACCACGGAATACGTCCTATACTACGAAGGCAACGGTGGTCAAACACCTGAAACCTTTTCATGTCTTCCACTTTCAATGGCCATGTTTCACAGCCATACAGTAGAACAGAGCGGACTGCTGTGCAGTACACGCGACCCTTAATAGACAAACGAATATCACGGCGGCGCCATAGGTGGCGCAAATTGGCAAAAGCCAATCGAGCCTTTTGTATCCGTGCAGAAATCTCATCGGCAACTAACCCACCGGAGTTGATCCTACTTCCCAGGTAAGTGAAGTGGTCAACACACTCAACCACTTCACTCTCTATTGTTAACCGCGGTACCGCTGAAGACCAGTCCTGGAGCAAAAATTTGCATTTGGGTGGTGAAAATCGCATCCCAAACATTCTCAAATTCCCACTCAAAGTGTTCAGAAGACTCTGCATCTTGTCAGCGTCTTCACCTAACAGGACTATGTCATCTGCATATTCTAGATCTAAGGAAAATTCACCTGTGATCGGGTCAACGTCTTTGTAATTAGGTGACGAGAGGGAAACCTCCATAAGAATATCTATGATAAAATTAAATAAGAATGGGGATAGTGGGCATCCTTGACGGACACCACTTGATGAGTATAGCTCCCTGGACAACTCACCATAGGCTCTAACATGCCCACAAGTGTTCGAGTAGAGAGCTTTCAATAAGGTGATGTACTTACTAGGCACGCCTTTCAGTGACAGACACTGCCATAAGACTTCTCGATCAACGGAGTCAAATGCCGCCTTCAGGTCGAGAAATACAGCTATTGTCGGGCGTCTGTAAGCATGCCTATGTTCCAGGACCTGGCGCAGTGTGAATATTTGGTCGATACATCCACGGCCAGGTCTAAAGCCTGCCTGGTTTTCTCGGGCTTGCTGTTCCCGAGCTCCACTCAGGCGTCGGAGAATTATAGAACTTAGGATCTTAGACACTATGTTTGTCAGGCTGATTCCTCTGTGGTTATCACAAGAGGACTTCTCGCCTTTCTTGAAGACTGGGATGATCAGTGACTTAGACCAGTCGGAGGGGATCGTATTTGATTCCCATATACTGGCTAACACTTCCGTTAGCCTGACTAAGAGAACTCTACCACCATTCTTGTATACCTCAGCAGGTAGTCCGTCTGGTCCTGCTGCCCTTCCCCGTTTCAGGCTACCTACCGCTTTCTCAACTTCTTCTAGTGTTGGGGGACCTGTCTCTATGTCCCATTCAGGGTCCGACTGGATAGCGGGCAGCGCAATGGTGGCTGGAGGCCAGTTAAACTGTTCCTCAAAGTGTTCTGCCCATCGTCCCAGTCGCCTTCCCTGCGAGTGAATCGCCGATCCGTCCTTCTCCGCTATAACCTCACTAACTGTTGTTGACCATTTCCCCCCAGTCTCCTTAATAAGTCTAAATAACTGTCTACTGTTACCGATCGCCGCTGCCTTTTCCATCTCTTTAGCCTTTGCTGCCCACCACTGTTCACGATCGTTGCGCAGACTTTTCGTCAGTTTATTTTTAAGTTGCGCTCGCTCTTCATTGTACTCAGAGCCTGCAGGGATGCATTCACGTGCATCCATTAGTTTGGAAGAAGCTGCTGATATCCACTGGCTCTTTTTAGCCATTATCTTGGAGTCGGCTACAGTCTCCAGTGCTGCTTTTACAGTAGACTGAAGATGGCACCAAGCTTCTTCTGGATGAGTGACAGTCTTTTGTTCCGATAACTGCCTAGCCAACTTCTCACTGAACACGGCTTTGGTGTTTTCGTTGTCCAGCAGAACTCGTAGTGGTTTTGTTGCCAAATTTTTTCTACGTCCATTGAGACGCAGGCATATACGTGCTCGGACCAACGCATGATCGCTGTCCAAACACGTACTCCAGAAGGAGCGGCAGTCTTCCACCGATCCTCTCCAGCGATGACTAATAGCAATGTGGTCTATCTGTGTCCATCGCTGAGTCGAGCTCGGTGGACGCCAGGTCAGAC